ATTTAAATATACCAGTTAACAATAGAGGAGTAATTAGCAGCTCGAGAGTCAGTTTCTGGCGTATGAATCGAACTACAGATTTCCTCAGTTTTTAAATTTATGGTATATCATACGTTCAGAGAAGTTCTTACACCAGTCGATTACGTGAGATAGGAGACATCGCTAAGCTCTGGAATATATCGAATTCCTCAATATATGACACACGAAGGCCGAGTAAAATTCGCCTTAATTTAGGTGCTAATTTCAATAACAGCATAGTTGCCCGGGTTTCTTTTGTTTCAACAGGGACGATTACTAACTAATCGCCCGCTGTAGCGGGCGATTAGTTCTAATCACCCGTTGGCAGGGGTCACACCATAGATATCTTATATACACTAGATAGCGCATCTCTTTTAGTAAAATTGAAGCCAAGAATATTCCAGCGGTTACCCCCATTTGAATAGATGGCGGCCATGTTTGTAGCCTGTGTACAGCCGTAAATAGACCTTTCCCCTTATAACCAAAATTTTGATCTAGGCAAGTCTAGACAAATATTTCAACACAGCTTGAAAGAGCATCACAAAATTAGTAGTATTCCAAAGTTTCGTTGCGAAATGTTGTAAAATGAGGAAAATAGAGCCTTGCGAAGTTTGCAATTTTCAGTCATTTTGCATTACAAACGGGAAATTGCAGCCCCAACACCCGAATCGGATGTCAATTTCCCGTTTGTAATACAAAATGACTGAAAAACGGCAAACTTCGCAAGGCTATATTATCCGCATTTTGCAACAAAACTTTGGAATATTACTAATTTTGTGATGCTCTTTCAAGCTGTGATGAAATTTTTGTCCAGATCGAAATTTTAGTTATAAGGGGAAAGGTCCATTCTTCCGTAATTAACGTTAATTACGGGAGAATTTACGGCTGTACACAGGCCAATCTCGTTCCCTGAGCCTGCGGAAATCGTAATATCGTAATCAGTTTAAACCGTTATAACATGCAAACATCCTCTGCAAGAGGTCTACAGGAGGAAATTTGTGAAATGGAAGAGAAGAGACTGGGATCTAGTGTGTTGCCATGACAACCATATGACCTTCCAAAAATATTCATATGGGCGCACCCACTAAGTGTACCGAGTTTCATTGAATTTTATCAAATACTCACTAAGATATCAGACTTTCTTGTTATTACCATTATCTCAAGTCAAACTAGTGACGTCACAACTCAAAATATAGAAAGTGCGATAACTTGAGAATGAGATGAGATATGAAGAAACTGTAAACGTCATTCATCGCTGCAGCAGTACGTTTTAGCAAAACAATTAAAAATGAGGTGAAAATTTCGTTTCATAAGCACTTTAAAGAAACAGAGATAAATATCATGCATCAGGACAGAAGGAAAAAAGCATTAAGGAGCAGTTGTTGGAACAAGGTCATACCTGAACGAATATGTCAACGAAACGGCGGAAGAATGGGCGAAAGAGGTAATAAATCTGGCTGATTTTGCAACAACACAGCCTCAAGCAAGCTATGCAGTTTACACATTTGGGCTGAAACATCGATGGACGTACTTCCATAAGAAGAGCGATTACAAACTTCCTCCTGCCAGCTTTGGTTGATCACAAATGTTCCCCACTAGAGCGCGAAATTCTAGCCTTACCTGTTACGAAAGGTGTTATTGGGGTCACAAATCCATGCAATGAAGCGACATTGGAATATTCGGTATCAAGAAAGGTAACAATTAACACTATTGGTAGAATACTAGAAGTTACTATTGCAAGGAAAGTGGTACCTCAACCCCAAGGGACAAAGGCAGCATGCACAATCTGCTGAATAAGGGGCTGTTTATATGATCCTGCTTTGCCAGGACAAGATGCAAGGCAGGATGTATTGAAATAAGGTACGGTGCACGATTCAGCAAAAAACTACATTATTTTCTAGAGATAGATTATAGTTAACTGTAAACGAAAGGTTGTTCAAGCAGCAATAATAATCTTCTTGAACTACAAGTCGTCTCTACAACATTTTGGTTCTGTTAACCAGCATTTGAACTTTCGCCTAGTCACTTATTTCAATACATCAAAATCACCCAGCTTTCCAACATGTAAACAGCTTCTAAGACGTTTGTGTGATGTTACTCTGAGTGTATATCCACACCGGGCAGGCTTGAAAAATATGCCTGGCCACGGCGGGATTCGAACCTACGACCTTTGGAATACTAGACGCCTGTTCAATTTGAATATGAAACACCTTGCACGAAGTCGAAGGTCAGCTAAATATTCTACTTTCTTGGCATGGACGCTTTTATATGAATACCTTCGATGCTTATAATTTCTTGTCTTTTGTAAGTATAATTATATAATACTGTATGTGACGAAACTAGCCATAGCAGCAGCTCATGCACTCATGCATGCTATGCAAATCTTTAATTATTTGCATTATTCAGTGTAAACGGGGCTTTAGTCCGCTATATAGCTGGAATCATCCATTGAGATCTCGACAATACATAGATCGCGCGAAAGACTGGGTTGAGTGGACTCTGAAGAAACCATAGCACAACAAGAATAGTGTACTACCATGCATGGATTATAAATAACTGGATAGGAAACTTCCTGACGTCACAGTCTAAACCTAGACCTAGTTGCAATCTGTGACATCACGCGAATTGCCAAAGTTCTCAGCATTTTTGTTGTTTCGCTATATTTTCCGCTTTAAAAGGTTAGAGTAATATTGAAGCATAAACTGGTCTAATTGTTTTAAAAACATGCCTAAGCCACGACAAAGTATTCAAGGTAAATGTTTTTCGTCTTTGTTTTTTATTTTTTTACATTTGTAGCTACGAAATTGGCGTCGCCAATTTTAACGAAATTTGAGATGCATTTTTCGCTGTTTAGTGCTTGAAATATTTGCTAAAATTGACTGGGAATACTTAGAGATTTCATCGTAGAATGGCGTAGTTATATTTATTTGCTCTTTGACTAAAACGTTTAGCTGTATTATTGCTAAATTATTAATTTGGTTTGCAACTAGGTTTGAACATCCAACCACGCCATCAACCCATTGAAAACATTAGATCACGTCAGCTAGTTTCCTATCCATTTATTTTATTATCCATGGTACTACCTCGCTCAGAAGGAATTTGTTTCTGTGCTGTACATTTTGACAATAGTTCATTCCTACGGTTCAATGAGCTTATAGTTTTGGATTAATAGATAATTACGAATTTTTCGTTATTAATATATAGCTAATTCGAAAAAGGTTGTCCTTTGCAAACCTTGGACCTTAAACTATAAGCGCGCAAAGCTTAATGGGAGGCACCAGTTTCAAGTTTAGTATTTCATATTACAGCTATTTGTGATTGAATTGTTCTCCGCCTCCGGTAAGGAGATTTTTACCATGTCTCTATGAAATGGGCCACATATATGATTTCTAAACTGAGTAAATGATGCTCCCATTATCAGTTGCAAGCTTAGAGTTTAAAGATTTAGAGTTTAAGGACTAAGGTTTGCAAAGAACAAACTTTTTTGAATTAGCTATATACAGCTGATTCAATTAAGGTTGTCGTTCCATAACCTTAAACGCTGAGCGCGCAAGGGATGATGGGTTTTCACCTATTAGGCCTTTAAATTCAGCAAGTATGTTTTCTGCCGTGAGTCTTCTGTATGTCTTAGGTATTCTTGCAAAGCCAAATTTCAAAGTTTATGAATCTAAATATGCAATACTGCTATTTGCAAGCTACCATAATTAGGCGTGCGATTTTTTTCATGTTTGTTTACGTTTCAAACGTTCAGGTTCAAAACCGGAAAACGTTAACGTTTTGAGCAAGCCAATCAACGTTTGGCGGTGTGTTCAATTAAATTTTGCTAAGATCGTGGCAAACGTTGATTGGCTTGCTCAAAACGTTAACGTTTTCCGGTCAAAAACCTGAACGTTTAAAACGTAAACAAACATGAAAAAAATCGTACGCCTAATGGTAGCTTGCAAACAGCAGTAACTCATCATCCCTTGCGCGCTCAGAGTTTAAGGTTTAAGTTTTTGGAAGGACAACCTTAATTGAATTAGCTGTATATAGGTTACATCACGTTCAGCTTTGCTTCAGTAGCTTTTTACATTTCATAAATATTTTCCATTTAATTGAGAATTTTGCATTAGACCCTTTCAGGTGCCAAATATATTTGCTCAGTTCCGTGGCATGTTTATACGGGGAGGTTCTGAAAGAACTGGTATGACTGTTGTACCTGGTTTTAAAATACACAGTGTGTGCGACATAGGTTTAAAAAAAAAAAAAAACAAGTTGCCTGGATTTAGCGGATGATTGATTTCATATTTATTCCTGAAGATTTCTTCGTCGAAGCAAGGGAATTAAGACTAGTAGATCTATAACTTGTGCATGGTTACCGCGAAGAAAAAGTTACAAAAGACAAGGATAAATCATTCGAGAGCCAGTATTTTTATTCCGTATATACCATTGTAAATCTAATACACTGTTTCTTACACGGTTGCATTCATTACAGGATTTCTTGTTATATACACGTATTTTCTGATTTCATTGCAAAGACAATGTTCTTGACGGAAACGACAAGTTGAAGTTTCGGAAGATCCGATATGGCATGTATAATGAAGTTTTTGAAAATTTATTACTGCAATTAACAAAGTCAATTCTACTGGCCGAGAGCTTAATCTATTGTTGCACAACAGTATATATAGATGTAGCAACATTAATATGTTTTAATAGCTGACATCAGGCAGCTGGATAACTTTGATGACATCGTCGGAATAATTTTCTTCGGCGAGCCTTTTTGTACTGAGTCAGACCCATGTGTAGGAGGTTAAAAGGCTCCGCAGTTTCAGAAAACTGTAAGTCTAAAAACATATTAATAATTTATGTTGAGCAGTTTTATTGTGTTATTGGCAGGAAAGCCGTTCAGTAGAAATGTACACAAACGATAATCCATCTTGCTATCATCATTTGCATTTTATATGACATCCTCCAATACAAAAGAAGTGCTATAATATCACCAGACCGTGTATATCATGAACATCTCAAGGCTTCGCTAAAAGAATGAAAGTCTATAGTTACCTAAAATGAAAGTGATACCCCACAGTGTTTGAAAGATATATCCAATTATTATAGAATCCCCGCAAAATGTTGACCGAAGACCTTGCAAGCGTCTACTACCAATATAAGGTTTGTGATATGAGTAGGTTGCTTAGCAGCTGAACACGATTGAGTTTTATAATTCGACACATAGCATGATCTAAGGCTAAGCTATATATATAAAGATATATAGTGAATGTTTTATTAAATCATGATGATACATGTGTATGGGGTTGCTTGTTCTCAGGAGGAAAATGGACAAGTACAAAAAGATGAATCTGAGTCCCTCAAACCTAAGATTGATGCCCTACGAAAGAACTTTGATATGGTGAGTGTTTCATGTAAAACGTTTGTTATTCATCTACCTAATGTTATATACTACATTTAGTGCAGATATATAGGAAGGCTACATTAAAAACGTTCGGCTTTTCAAAATTTACAGTACAACCAAATCAGTAAATATTTAATAGTATATAACCTTAATCCACTGTATCCAATAATTATTTTAGCACTAAAACAAGTATTGTAGACAGTTCATTTACCATCGGGGCGCGTTTATAAAATTTGGAAATAAAAATAATACGTCTAACGGTAATAAAAATATTTTCAGTACAGTGCGTTTGTCACAATGAAATATTCTTCAAATTAACCATTTTAAGTTATGCATGAAAACGCGCCGATTGATTTATACTTAACATTTTTTGTTATTAAAATTACTAAAAGAATTACAGGCGGGAATGTTTATTGTTTTCACCAAACTATGCTTTTCATAATGGTCTGATCTGTTAGTGTTGCTAAATTTAATTTAATATTTCATACAGGTCTTCACTTTGTAAATTTCCCAGTTTCATATGTCACGATTGCCTCTGATATGAGGAAAATGAACTTTTATCAAAACATAAAAATATCGATCAATCGTTCTTGCATATACATGTCCATTTTTTGTCCGTTTTGCTGAGAAGAACTTTCCAGTTTAATAGCTTATTGCATGCAAATTGCCGCTTTAATCTGCCAATAGCCGTGAGGTAGTGCTGACTGCATGGAGATATAGCCTACCTTCTGCTCCTCCGCAGACCCTCATTGCCATTGGAAGGTCACAAACAATCGTGATTTTAAAATTCGCAGTTTCCGAAATCTATACCTGCTCTAATTGCTATATATATGCATTTGTGCCGTGGCGGGCGAAATTTTCAACATGCATGTATGCCAAGGGGGTTTCGGTGTATATATATATATATATATATATATATATATATATATATATATATATATATATATATATATATATATATATATATATATATATATATATATATATATATATATATAGTATTATACATGCTCTAAGACTACGTCATGCGAATCTTTCAGAACATGGCCATGGGCAACAAAAGAATCCCGAGTTGTGCCATTTGACTGACATTAGATACATTTTCTAAGACATATAGTCAATTAATTATGCCGATTAGCGTTGTTGTTTAATGTACTATAATCTATATAACTATCAATTCTAATTGTTTAAATATTTTATCAGTAGAGCTGTAAATAATCCTACACAGAACAGATTGTATAAGGGGCCGATTACATGGAGCATTTTCAACCCCGGGGTTGAACTCAGCCCTGTTTACCGGGTTGAAATTTCAGCCCTGTCTGTAATACAAAACGCTGTCAAAATCAAACGCGCGATTACATGACAAAATTTTCAACCCAGGGCTGAGTTCAACCCCGGAGTTGAAATTTCAACCCTGCTAGCTGAAGCAGGGTTGAAATTTCAACTCCGGGGTTGAACTCAACCCTGGGTAGCTTGCGTCTATGGTGCCAGGTCCCCCGTGCCCACCAAAATCCTGCCCGTTGCAAATCCGGGCCCGCATAAAACTGAGGGCCTGCCACGCAGGCTAAACCCTGGGTTGAAAATTTTGTCATGTAATCGTTTCAACCCAGGGCTGAAATTGACTTATTCGAGCATGCGTGGTAGTGACTATTTATTACAAGAAAACAAAATTAAGGCTTTTTTACTTTCGGGAATCGATGCCGAGAACGTATATAGCGTTTCAACGCCGGGGTTGAAATCGTCCATATAATCGCAAAAAATTTCAACCCGGTTAACAGGGCTGAGTTCAACCCCGGGGCCGAAAGTTCGCCATGTAATCGGCCCCTAAGCTTACGTACAACACACTCCACCGGAACGAAATAATACCGGCAGAGTTTACGTGTGTTCCCACAACGCCGTTAAAGTTTGTTTACAAAGCAAAGAAATTTAATTAAACGAAAAGCATTTATGAGCGGTACAAAAAAGTAAGTTTTTGTTCACACCAAGAAAAAAGTAAGTTTTTGTTTTAAGTTCGTTTTTGTTCACACGAAGCCGCCAAGTGCTTCGTTTGCATCTGGCTCGTTTAGAAACCCTGCTCAAATTGTACGGCAAAGTGACGTTTTCAAACAATTTCGCTCCGGCCGGCGTATAGTGTGAACATGACGGCTATAATTGCATGCTTGTCACTTGCTCCTAAACAATGTCTGTAACTAGTGTTCGCCACTGGCTGTTTCAAGATGATCACTGACCTTTTCAAAAATGATGCTGTTTCGATCCTAAACGGTAGCGGCGAACATGCATATATACCGCGTGCATTTCATGAATAGGGGTGGCGTAATAACCAAAACAACGAGTAGAATTTATATTTTTTTCTTCCAGGCTTGTGCGGCATTCGATTGTATTGCGGATCACGATCCGGAAGAAGGTTCAGCGAAACGAAAATTGGATATGGTAATATAATTATTAAGCAGAATTTTTGGTCTTCAGTACTACTAAGTAAACTTACATGTAGACATACGAGACCACGGGCAGAGGAGGGGCAGTTGCCTCCCAGGAGTTTAGAAACTTTGGGGGGGGGGGCAGTCCATCCTTGTAGGTGCATGAATAATGAATGCTGCATGGGTTTGGTGAATAATCCAAGTGAGTATATATATATGCACAATTTAAGACCTCACCGGAACAAATGCTAAAAATGCAACACTATATAGGACCTCTGCATGGCAGGAATCGAACATGCAGCCCTGCGATTCCGGTGCAGCGCTCTAACCAACTGAGCTACAGAGGCCAATTGTCGAGGTGTAACCGCAAGTTCATGTATATGTATAGATTTTGGTTAGAGCGCTGTACCGGAATCGCAGCCACAGCCGTAGGTTCGATTCCTGCCAGAGGACCTATAGTGCTGCATTTTTCGGAACCGTTCCTGATTTTTAGGAATTAGGAATTAGGATTTATTCAAATTACATCGCAGCAAAAGCTGAATTACGTAATAGTTACAAAACATTATGTATTAAAGTGTCGCATCTATTTACATTAATTAAAAATATTAAAAGTTACAGCTAGCATATTCAGCATGACTTATTGAACTCATTGCACATGGCAAAGATAAATGAGTTTTAATAAGAGGAATATTAAAATTGTTTTCGTTTCTTAAAAAGTGGCCCGAATTATGTCTCTCAGGTAGTAAATGATAAATCTTATGATTTGTATCGAGCATTACACATCGAAACAAATTGTCACATAGATTTTTATGATGGTTTTCCATAGGTTTGATGTTCAAAAGTTTAAGAGCATCACGGTATAGACCACATCTGGCATTATGATGGTAATTGCTCTTTTCTCCAAACGTATTAATTCATTAGCCATTTCGATTCCCAAAGTCCTGGGTCTAGTCGCGCGAATCCCATGTTGGAGGGACAAGAAATATGGCAGCACATATTTAAATTAAAAGTTTAACGTAAAAAGGAGATATTTCATTTTTGGTCGTCTAAAAAGTTGATATTTGATAGTAGATATTTCTACTCTTTCACATATTTGACGCCTGTCACCATATATTTTGTCCCTCCAAATGCACTGTGATCTCTTTTGGGAAAAGGCTAATTCTTTAGGTACTACGGCAATGAATAGTAGAATGCAGGTATTGCATAATCAGCGACGGATCTGATACACGAAGTGTAAAACAATGCTAAATCTTTCGATTCAACTTTAGCGCGTTTTAGTTGGGAGAGAAAGTACAATCTCTTATTTACTTTCTTTACCACGTCGTTAATGTCGTCCAAGTTAATTTACGATTGATGGTAAGTCTTAACAATTTAATACCTATGTTTAATACTTTCTACGACGTCCAAATTTTTACCATTTACAACTATGGGATCCATGCATGTCAATTGGGTTTACGTTGAAGGAAATGCGTAGCTCTTTGCATTTTTCTGTATTTAATTGCATTTTGTTTTTATCTGACCAGTAAATTACTTCATCGACTAGGTCTTGAGCTTTGCTAGTGCCGTTCTTGAAAACCATTTGTGGAATCGTCCACGTATTTCCAGAGGGGCCCTTGGGAGATGTTTAAGTCGTTTATTAAGGGGATAAACAGCCAGGGACCTAATTTGGTGCCCTGGGGCACACCAGAAGGAACAGATTCCCACAATGAAAAGCTAAAGTTTCCTAGTTTGATTCTTTGAAGTCTGTGGGTGAGAAAGTCAATTATCCAGCTAGTAACACTGCGAGGTACTGCATGCATATCCAACTGCGATAGCTTTCTGAACAAGATTGAGTGATCAAGGAGATCAAAGGCTTTTCGATAATCGAACAGTATTGCTCTTATGATCGATCCGTTTCCGTCCGTTCGATGAAACCAATGATGCAACATGCTAATAAGTGCCATTGTTGTAGAGGATTTTGGAATAACTCCATGCTGATGGGGGTCGATCACCTTTAAAACAGCTGGCTTAACGTATTCATTTACCAGGAATTCTTCAGCAACTTTAGAAATGCACGATGTGAAATCGGTCTTCGGTCTTTCTTTGTTTGTTGGACAATCTTTGTTTTTGGCATGAGGGGAATTACATCAGCCTTCTTCCAAAGAGTAGGAAGACATTGCTCTCCGTACGATGCATTAAGGGCAAGCGAAACAGGAAGGGCGAGAATTAATGAGTATTCCTTTAAACACCAGTTAGGTATGTTATCTGGGCCAGCTGCTCTATTGATTTTAAGTTTTGATAAAGCTTTATGCACCATAAATTTCGATACATTTGGAAAAACAGGTGATTCTTCCAATGGAAGCTTGGATAACGGAGATTGTAACCTGTATTCGTTCAGTGGATATCTAAAAACGCCGCGTTGATCTTATTTGCTTGATCTTCTAAGGACAAATTTGAGAACTCTTCGACGTTCATTAGATTAGAAAGTCCCTCATTGGTTTTGAAATTACAAATACGTTTTACCTCGCTCCACCATTTCTTTGGGTTTTCTTTTCCCAGATTATGAACATTCGCTTCATAGTACTTTCCCCTGCATGCTTTTCTCTCTGAATTGACTAGGTTTCTATAATTTTTGAATTCAGCTGAATTAGCACCATACGTATAAAGCGTCTTCTGCCTTTTAATGAGTGTTTTTAATCTATGATTTATATTTTCTTAGTTGGCATGAGGAGGTCTAGGCCAGTTAGTACAACATGGAAAATGTTCCACATGTTCTCACAATTATGTTCAGCCAGCTAGGATTGAAACCCAGTTTATTGAGCTCAGATATCTTCCCAATTCTGCTCTATGGCTTGCTTGACGATCACGTTTTATTATCATCTTCTTCTTTCTAGTATTGCAATCTTTAATTTTTGGTGTAACCATTATGGTGTTGTGGTCTGAGAGTCCAAAAAGAGAAATTAGGCGTAAATTGTTATGCTCACTTGAATTATCCACCAAACCCAGCATTCTGGTTCAACCAAGTAAATTAGTGCAAAAAACCACATCTTTCGAAAATGATTAATATCGACGAATATACAAATAAGTGTCTTTGTTTACTACAGAAATAAAGAGTCATTTTTCTAAGGTATAAATTTTTTGGTACTGAAAGCCGGGCAATTTCCATCTTCGTTGGGCAAAGTGATTTCTTCCGCCCTATTATATAGTTTTAGAGGAAACTATGGGACTGCAATATTTGATTTGTTTTATTCAGGTAATGGATCGGCTTCTAAACATCAAGAGCATATTAAATGTGAGTATATAATAAGAATAATTAGACAGAAATTACATTAAATTACTTCAATCATGTATGTTTACATATGCTGAAGCTGACTGTTGAAGAAATTGTACGTTGACGTTGACGTCGCAGACCGCGTCCGTTGCCACAAAGAACATAACAATCTGTTGAAGATCACATGAACTAATCATATTTAATCGAAGATTGCTTTAAATTTCTTTACTGGAAATTTTACGACACATCTTACAGTATGCATGCAGGTGACCACGGCAATTCATGCACTAACATATGAAAGCATATGATTCGCTATGATGAATCTATTATAAACAAGTATACATATTTATCTTTTTTCCGAAATGCATGGCAACATGTGACATTTCAATGACATTACATGAAGTCTTCGAAGCCACGCCCAACCGAATTAAATTCGACACATGTACACGGCAAAAAACGCCGAGCCCGTTGCTTAACAGGATTGAACAATGTTTTGCTGCCCACGTTGTTCACACTTGTCAACAATATTGAACAATATTGTTGAGCCTGAATCGGGTGTAACAATATTGTTCAATATTGTTGACAGCTATGAACAATGTGGGCAGCAAAGCATTGTTCAATCCTGTTTTCATCACAATTGCAGCAACCTGAGCGTTTTTATGCGTGTAAAATGCGACGTCTGAAACCATGTCGTACTTTGCTCGCATTATATGCGACCGCATCTTTATGCTCGACCGTAATTAGAAACGTTAAATTTAATTGTGTAGGGTGTTGACTTATATAGGGTTGTTGTTGGCTTAGGGTTGTTGTTGGTTTAGGGTCAGGGTTGGTAACTTGGCCTTTTTGCGGCCAAATAACTCGATTTTGGCTTTTTTATTTCTTGTTTGGCCTTGAAAAAAATGTTTGGCCTTTTTGGCTCTATTTTGGCTTTTTCATCAAGTGACAGGAATTTTCACTATTTTTTAGTATAATTTATTATGAAGGAATGTTAAACCATTAAGCAACATGTAAGAATGTAAGAATTGTGTACCGTTGAAATAGGATAACCTAATTTTATTGACACTCAATCAGATCTTAGGAAATTCAGCCAATCGTAAAGCTGAAACCAAAGACAGCATTGTAGCTATATGTCTTCGCAGAGGTCCGCCCCGTAGTGTTTTGCATAAACTAATGAAAAAGTATTTTGCATAAACTAATGAAAACATTTGCTTTAAAAATCATTTGGGACTTTTGAGTTGTTAGTAATACGTTTTTCATATAATTCATTATTCATTTGTGAAAACTGTGTAACACGCGTATTTTTTGCTGTTTCATTTTACCAAACCATTTCATGTTATGTAAAAGTTGGAGACATTTAATAAAAAAAAAAGAATTTAAAATATGCTGCAAGCTTGCAGCCAACATTATTTTGTATAATTTGAATTTTTTCATCTATCCACATACTGCGCTTCTCTAGCCCTAGAGATAGCCTGACCAATGTAAGTCGAAAATATTGATAAGATTTGGCTTTTTTCAAAAAAATGAAATTTGGCTTAAGGTAATTCCGCAGTAGTTGTTCCCGAAATGAGAATGTGCTGAAACTTCCCAGGCATGGAGTTTATGATATACTTAAAGTACAATCACACAAAAAGTCGGGGTCACCGAACTGGTTAAGAAGATATGACAATCACAATATACCACCTTTACCCCAATATGGCGCCATCTTGACGCTCATTACGAGTAACAGCAAACTCACAACAGCCCGATATTTATTGACGTTTTTAGCGCGGACTTTGCTTTAGTAAACCTATCTTGTAATTATTTTTGAAAAAATATTGTGTTTTGAGCAAAATGAAACTACTAACGTGTACAATTCTGATCCACAAATGTCTTTTCCACATTTCTTAACATATCTTTCCGTTTGAGAACATGCATTGATAAAGCATTTTTTTCAAGATCCAAAAATGATTTTTCTTTTAATTTCGGATATGAAATATAAAATGCATTAAAGAAATAAATTATCAGTTAAAAAACGGGGGTCGCCGATCTTTTTAGGGAATTGTGGCATTAAAACGTGAAATACAAGTAAATAAATATACTACAGACACAGGGAACCCTAGCTACACTTTTGTATGCCTTTTTTGAAAAAATTGATTTTAACGTAATTCTTTCCACGAATGTAACCAAAGAAGTTTTGAAGTAACATAAAATTGTCATAAAATGATTTTTTTTTCGGGTACGTATAGTAAAAGTGCGCAATGCAAAACTGCGGAATTACCTTAATTTAGTAGAATTTGGCCTTTTTTTAAAGGTCATTTGGCTTTGTGCATGCGCGAAAGCCTACCAACCCTGTTTAGGGTTGTTGTTAAAGAATTGAGAACGCGGTCTAGAGACTTGATTCGGATTGATGTTGGAGATCAATCTTAATACGAAGTAAAATAAATTTAACTATAAACTAACGGAGCAGTCTATAATATTCTACAAATATATGTATACTATAATACTTTTGTTTGTGGAAACACCACGTAAATATATTACTGCAAAGCTTTCGATCCGTAAGCCCGGATCTTCATCAGTGCTAATAATATATAATATTTGCAGTAATAAATTTACGTGATGTTTCCACAAACAAAAGTATTATATGTTTTATCGCCATGCAAACCTACAAAGAACTTATATGTACACTGCTTTCTTATATAATAACATACACAAAAATATTACTCGACTGTGATTAGTTGATTCCAGTGGAATTAATCTCAAGTAGCAGTGCAAAAGTCTGTAAAAAACTGACCTAATTGGTGGGAAAAAACTGGGATCTAAAATTCAAAACAAAACAAACATGGCGGCCGCGCCACATATTAAGTAAAAGTTAAGTTCGGGTGGAAAATATGCCGTATTTATCTCTTTTTAAAATGGAAAAGACTTTATACCTTAAACAAGACTAGCAAAACATACGTATATTTGAGTGACATTTTCAAGCCGTTAGCTTTGTACAATGTGATATAACAAAGCAGGAAAACTTTGTCAGTGAACGGTTCGCTATAAACGTATAAGTTGAAACTACAATTGTCTCGAACATTTTTATGCATATTATTAATACGTAATAGGATGGTTTCTCGGGAAATTTGGATAAACACTCGTGAGTTTTTCAATGACCTTCAATAGCACTCGTCCTTTGGACTCGTGATATTTTAATGCTCTTTGAAAAACTCACTCGTGCATGTTTTATCCAAATTGCACTCGAAACCATCCTATTAATACCTATAGTATACTAATACCTGTAATAGTGAATGCTTTATGACTTGTAGGAAGAAACAGACCCTCTTGACTTTCGTTACAGAACATATCAGAACAGGTTATCAGAATATGGTAAGTATTAATTTGCCATGCAAGTGTTATGGAGTAACATATTGATCATATAATTCATCATATAGTTCGCTTCAAGTATAATCTACTTAAAAGCATGGTTGGAAAAGATAGCGGACCGTATGGGACCATTCGATGCAGAGAAAATTTTTATGTGGCAGAAAGAAAATAGGAATTTTTCAAAATTTGAAGAAAAAACAAAAGAAAATATTAAAATTAAAACAGCCAATACATCGTCCAGGGGTCGGTTGTTCGAAAGTCGATTAGCTTAACCCTAGGTTAATCTAAACGTCCAAGCAAACTTGCTGACAGCTTGTCTATAAATTTGGAAATGTTTCTTCAGAAATCTTGGCTGGGTCGATTGGAGTTGACTTCCCTGAAGTTTTGAAATAAACAGACGTGCAGAAATACATGCAAAAACCAAAACGGCGGGTTAAATTTTAACCGAGGGTTTAGCGCTGATCACAGTGGCGACGCCAGGCCTCAGAATTTGGGGGGGGGGGTGGGCAACTAATATTTAAATGTGGCAGCGATAGAATTTTTAAAAAGGTACTGCTATTTGCCCATGCCGTTGTCACAGGACTTTTGTCCCCCCCCCAGGAGATTCGCCCCCCTCTCAAAAGGGGGCAATATTCCTAGGAATACCGCCCCCGGGGGACGAATATCCTAGGAATATCGCCTCCCCCCCCCCAGAGGGGCGAATGTCCCAGGAATATCGCCCCCCCCCCCTTTAGGATATTCGCCCCCCATATATGCGATGTGGTTTATTCAAATAATTTCGTGATACTTTCATCTTATTAGTGCCTTAAGGCTCATACAGACCGGACGCTATTTGGCAACGCGACGCGAATTTTCAGTTTTCAATGAAATTTAACTTTAATATTTTTCATTGTTTTTCAAATATTCGGGACCACTTAGCAATTTTAGCTATTTGGTCTGCATACCTTGTAAAACTTTTATCCGTTGACGGTTTTATTTGTTTTTGAAAACTGAAAATTCGCGTCGCGTTGCCGAATCGCGTCCGGTCTTTGTGGGCCTTTACACGTTTGAGAATTTAACTTTGCAAAACTAAAGCTTTTTTGTCTTTTTTGAAACGTATTATTGGAGTATTGGCAAGTTTTACCATTCAGAGATTTACAAACTAATATTGAAACTGTAAAAGACAGTTTCATGTATACGCGCATTCACTAATGAGTGATGTCAACTTATAAGCCAAACATTTTCCGATAATGACAAAACGCTTGTGTAGCCTTTAGTCACACTCAGTTACTAATAATTTTTTTTGAGGGGGGGGGGCAAAATGGGGGAGGGCAAAAATAATTTTGGGGGGCATTTGCCCTCCCCTTCCCCCTCCCCCTGGCGCCGCCACTGGCTGATCAACCTATGAGCAACCGGTTCCAGGTGTCTGCGAGCGAGGCCGGGGATGAGTAAGTACATGGTATAAGTGCAGATATTGAACTGGTTGTTAAGTATATAGGTCGGTGGACAGCACAGTGTTCACACTGGATATTTCTTCATTTGTACAGAAGTAACGTTTGGCAGCCTAATGAATACTTTGACTATTCAAATTGAAGACTTTAAAAACGAAGTTTTGGAAAGCATCGAGGTAAGCATGGATGAATTTTATACATATAGAATTATGCCATTTGCATAATTAATTATACCAACATGAGCTCCACCTTTGAATTTACTATATGAGTAAATTCTTAAACACGTCCGAATTTATCATTATGATAAATTCGCGGCACTTTTTGAATTTATCAATAGAGTTAATCATAAACCCCACAAGCATTACACAGGATTTCTTGTTATAAATGTAATGGCACTAGAAGGGAGGCAGGTCGCGCGGGGTTTGGGAGTTTTTCAATTTTTTTTAAAAAAATAGTTTTTAAAAAAGTTTTAAAAAGTTTTAAAAGAGTTTTGAAAAGCGAGAAAAGTTTAAAAAGTTAGATTTTTAAAAAAGTTAAAAAAAATTTAAAAGTTAAAAAAGTTAGGGGTTAGTGGTTAGGGGTTAGGGGTTAGTGGTTAGGGTTGGGGTTAGGGTTAGTGTTAGGTGCCGCGAATTTATTATTATGATAAATTAAAAATTTGCCGCGAATTTATCATAATGATAAATTCGGACGTGTTTAAGAATTTACTCATATAGTAAATTCAAAGGTGGAGCTCATGCTGAATTATACAGTATTTTCTCTCATGAAGACGACTGTATGCGTCATGCTGCGGGTATTAGGGGGATAAGGGCTTAAGTGGCGAAATCGCCAGAGAGATGAGTACATGTAACGCTTATAGATTAGCGAGTTTCACTCTTCCTTCAGTTGATGGGAAGAGTTATAATCTATATTCAGGCAAAACTCCAGCTTCTTTGCTTTCTCTGCTTTCCTTCCACTGGGAAAGTTCATAGCTTGACTTTTCAGACATAGGTAGTATTTGGAATTTCCAACAAGGCCTTTCATATTAAGAGAATATTGGAACTTGATGCAGTGGTCTTTACCGTTATAGCTATAGCGGGGGTTCCAGCCCAGGTGGTCGATCATGGAAGAGACTAGTTGTAATCTAAATCTCCCATATAAATTTGTGTGTAGCGCACGGGAACAATACGTCCATCCAGTGTTGCCCGGCTCTCTGGATAAGGCTTTGTGATGGTTGGGGCGCCAAGTCTACCAGTTCCCGCGATTGGCGACCTAATAACGCAGCGGCCATTCACCCCTATCGGCACGGTACCTTCTGGTTGCGGGTATAATTGTTTGTCTAACCTCCACTAGATGGGTTGTCTACCAAGATTGAAGAGCCCCATCTGCCCTGGTTTGTGGTCAGAGTTGTCCCTCTCCTAGGATGACTGTTGGTTAAAACTAACGAGCTCACCCTACCCGTAGCGCTGGTTAATTGAGGGCGCCTGTATCTCGCCTTTCGCCCCTTCTCCTGCTGGTTACAAACAACTTCGCCACCTGAAGGCCAGGAGTTGGACTTACGAGAGGCTCTATTTTACGCAAGCCAATGGGGCATTTTATAAGCGTAGGAGAGCTCATTTTCCTACACCACCCCAGCAATAACAGCCTTTGAAGTTTTTGCTCATTGTTTCAGCTATATATAACTTTCTTCAACTTATGTAGGATGGTCTAAAAAGTGCCATGGACGTTGCGACAGAAAATCAAGAATTAAAAGGTGCACGTGTTCATTTTACCAACATCCAACAGAGTCCACCATTGGGCGGGTTATAGGAATATAGTCCATTTCATAGTGAATGGTTCTATATTTGGTCATAATTGACCAGGTCATGTTCGATGATGTGAAATAGACTAGGTCTATCTCGTATTTTGTGTATAGACGTAAAACGACCCTCTATATTTACGACCCTTAATGTGAAAGGGAAAATACATCTCGACGTTTCTAGCAAACAGCGGCCTTTGTTAGGAGAACTATAATTATATACTAGGAAGATATATTTTACGTTTACAATCGATGACAATTAATTATATTTTGTGTGCTACACCACCTTTTAACTAAGCGTTATCTTCCGTTAACATGCAGTTTTACTGAAGCGAGAAAAAGAAGAAGTCATGCATCAACAACAAAGGTATTATGTTTCTGATATTACTCTTGAGTGTGCATCCACACCGGGCAAGCTGAAAAGTTTGCCTGACCACGGTGGGAATCGAACCCGCGACCTTTGGGATACTAGTCCAATGCTCTGCCAACTGAGCTACGATGTCAAATCGGTTCGAGTAGCTCTCGTAGCTAGCTCAGTTGGTAGAGCATTGGACTAGTGGCCCAAAGATTGCGGGTTCGATTCCCACCGTGGTCAAGCAAACTTTCCAGCTTGTCCGGTGTGGATGCACACTCAGAATAACATCAGAAACATCATTCATATTCACCTGAGTACATAACTTCAACACACACAAAAAGTATCATATCTCAGAATACATTGATATCGAAAGAACTAGACTCAGTTCCGAAATATCACCAACTCGAACCGACTTGATCTCGTAGCTCAGTTGGCAGAGCATTGGACTAGTATCCCAAAGGTTGTGGGTTCGATTCCCACCGTGGTCAGGCAAACTTTTCAGCTTGCCCGGTGTGGATGCACACTCAGAGTGACATCACAAACATCATTCATATTCACCTGAGTAGGCCTACATAACATCAACACACACAAAAAATAAGAAAGGTATTGTTACGATCATATATAAAATACAAGCAGGAAAAACTAGACAAAACTTTATTTTTGCGCACTCGCACTCATTTCGTTCAATTATACATATTTTAACTTTTTAGTTGAGCTAGCAAATATTTAGTTAATAAGTAATGTTTAACATTTAGTTATTACACTTTCGAATGCCAGAATACAGGGTTGTACGCGACAGCGACCTTTAATAAGCACTTCTTACCCTATTCGTTTCGTGACATCTTCATACCACATCATAGTACATTTTGTCTGATCCAACTGACAACATAGAACCCCCACTGACACTGTTGTCAACAGTAAGGTATTTAACCATTTTGTTTAAAAAATTATCGGCACCAGCTGTCACTGTCGGGTTATGTCGTTGTTTCATCACACCGCTCAAAAATGCCATAGACTGTTTAGCGACCAACGCTGTTGCGAGATTATCGACTGGCATCTTTTGATGGCATGGATCAAAGAATCACTATTACTCATCGCCCTAATTAAGACAGTTAACGTTTTAGCCACAACTTTGCGGTGACAGAGAAAAACACAATCTTGGCAACCTGCAGGAAGTTAGAAGAACAACTTGAAGAGAAAAATAAACAAATACTACAGTAAGTTCTATATGATTCGTACTTATTACTTTATATGATTCGTACTTATTATTATTACGTACTTATATCACGACCACATCAGCACTTGTGCTGCGATTAGACAAATAGTGTTGAAATAAAAGCTTTTGTATTGTATTGTATTGTATTGTATTGTATTGTATTGTATTGTATTGTATTGTATTGTATTGTATTGTATTGTATTGTATTGTATTGTATTGCATTGCATTGCATTGCATTGCATTGCATTGTATTGTATTGTATTGTATTGTATTGTATTGTATTGTATTGTATTGTATTGTATTGTATTGTATTGTATTGTATTGTATTGTATTGTATTGTATTGTATTAGTTATTACTTTTGTATATATATATGCATAGTTTATATTCATTATTTTTAAACAATGGGTGGCTGTTAACTTTTAACCATTGTCGAATGTAAGCCAACTAGCAGTCTAGTCTATAACATTTCTACATACAAGTTGAAGCTTCCATGCATTGGTGGAATATTCTATTTAACAGGTTGCAAAAGGAGGGTACGGTTACACTGTGGAGGAGGGAAAAAACAAAACTACTTGATGGCATCAAAACAAAGTACGTTTCCAAATATTAAATAATTCAGTTCATGCCTGCATCATTTTCTATAGTTAAAATTATATTACAATGTTCGAAAATAACTTTTCAATCAAAATGTTTATTTCTTGACCTGCCCGTTCTATTTGAAAAGGGAAATTGATCTGTCTAAACAGTTAGAGCAAACTCAAGCGGAAGCTACAGAAACTAAAGATAGGTTGCAGCGTAGAATTGTTGTAAGTATTATACTGCATGTAGTTTCAACATTATATTATTCTTATTACATGTATAATTAAAAATATACATTGGTGTGGTATGGTATAGTATGATATGGTATAGGTATATGGTATATATGGTATGGTATGGTATGGTATGGTACTGTATGTGGTATGGTATAATAAATTATTATGGTATGGTATGTTATGGTATGGTTCCTCATTTCACTAGCTGATTTTCAACTTTCAAGAGTAACGTACATTTGATTATAAAAAAAATTTATAAAAGTGCAATATATAGTAAAATTATAAAAGTGCAATATATAGTAAAGTAAAGATAAATAGTGTCGTCGGGGATTTTGTCAGTGGAAAAATTTGTTGGCGGAGCTTTGTCATGTGGGTTTTTTGTTGGTACAATACCTGCGGTCTACATTTGTCTGTACCATGCAGTTTCTTTGCAGCAAGCTAGTCTAGCATGTCTCTCGGATTCGCTGATTCATCAACTTGATCAGCTATATATATATATATATATATTGATATTGTCGGGTTGTTTCGTACATTTCAGTACATATTAAGTTTTGTTTTCTTTTCGTCAGGAATTGACAGATCAGGTAAAGTTCCTGAAGTTAGAAAAAGAATTGGGAAGCAAATTAGGAACTGGTCTAAGTCACCAAAACGGTAGTGAGTATTTTTACTGCTAGATATACTATAACCTTTATTTATATACTGACGGGACTTTATACCCAGAATAAATATGTTCTCGAAGAATATATTTGGATAATGAAGATTATGCAGGAATTTCTCAGTACAGTATGTGTATCTAAAATTTATTTTACAATGTCTAATACTTGTAACGAATAACAATCGTGAACTATTATTGATTCTAAAGCTCTCTATTGGTTTTACTCCAATATGAATTTCAGCTCCATAATAAAATGAAATCAGTGATTCAATTGATACTTTTTGAACAAAGAGATTATTTCCATTATTTTTTATTCATAACCTTTTCGTCTTGCATTTATTTTTCAAGCTTCTGCACCTAATGTGGACGACAACTCGTTAAAACAGGATTTATACCGAAAAGAGCGAGTAAGTTTTTGTGGGCAATCAACTTATTAATGTAATTATAACTTATTACTGAATACACATGGCTTGTTAACTACGACGCTTACAATGAAAACAAACAAGCCTTAAAGATAACACTTGTGAACAGCCACTGACAACTACAGCTGTGAACCAGACTACTGAGCAAAAACACCAATCTTCACTGAGTGTATATTGGCCAAATAAGAAGCCAGCGAAAATTAGTGCTTCTTACTTTGAAAGATGTCAGACCCGGGTTAGGTTTCAGCTTACAGTATGATTTAGAAGTATACGTTATATTTAATAGCTCATCCCTGATACTTTTCACTGAATTGTTTACAGGCTCTTGTCATGGCTGAAGCAGAACTTCAAAAGCAACAAAAATACTTTATAGGATTCATCCATGGTTTGAAACGAGATTTTACGTAAGTTCCTTTCTGCTTGACAATATGTTGTTTTTTCTTTAATTTATTTATTAAGGGTCATCATCTACCCATACTATCCAGGCTCGTGGTTGGTTGATTATAACAATGAAAGACAATAAAACTATAGAAATCGTTTTTTTAAAGAACGAGTCACGAACAATGATCTTTTTTGTTTTTGATTTGTTTCTGAAAGCCAATCACAAAACATGATCATTTTAGGTAGGTCTTTACCCTTTATTAAGCTTTCATTGTACAATGTTTGAAAATATATATATAAATTATATGCCAAAAAAAGGGGAAAAGCCCGTCTATATACTATATAGTATTCAAATAGACTATTTACAATATTTTTATATACGTCTTATACGAACACACAAAAACAGTATACAGTATATGCAGACAGTACAGTATATAGTTGTATTCTTTATTATTGAATTATTCAGAATGCCCACTCCATTAATATGCCTCCAGTTTGTACTACCGCTCTTTTTTTCATTTATTCACTCCAAACATGACTAAGATAAAAATCTGTCACCCATGCAGGAACTGTTTCTCTTGTGCATGATTCAGTAACGCGATTGATTGAGGCAATAGTGAAATGTAGTTGGTATGATTCATCCACTATACCAGTATAATGAGTGCATTTTCCATCACATTTTGTTCTTCATTTGTCTTAATGAATGGATAGTATAATGCTCGAGAGAGAAGGCAAGAAACCAGAAACATATTCTAGAAATAACAAAGCTTATATGAATATGTTAAACAGATTGCACATCGCAGCTAAAGAAGGTAAGTTCACAATATCAAATAAAATTAATACTTATACGTTTTTATCATTTGGTGCTTTACGTACTATTTAAAACATGACCAGCAGTGTTTTACCAGATATATCTTTAGGTCTGATAAAACACGCACTTCGAATGTTTTAAATTGCTTCAAAAACGATCGATCTAGTGAGTTCATTGGCGAAGTAATTTTCAAAAAATACGTTGTGTAAGTCGAGAAAATCAAAGTTAAAGTTTATGTAAATGAAGGGAAATCTCTATCACATATAAAATTAATATACGACACGCTTATGATTTTTCTTTGTGTTTTCCTCATGAATTATTAATGAGTTTTTGAAAGTTATATATGTTATACTTGTTCCCCAGTTCAAATGCATGATTAGTGTGTTTGTATAAGTCGTATAATTATAACTTTACAAGAATGAACTCATGTAGGTGCACTTCAAAAAATTAATGTTGACATAAATAAACTAAAGATATTATTAAGCTATAATTCCTTCTTTATTTACTTTTTTGGCGAAAAGAAATTTACATATAGTTGTCTTATATATTCTGAAAATTGCCCGTTGATCACCTTCAGTCAGTGGTTGCCAGTGCATGTATAGGTAGCGAAGGATACAATTTACGGGCTTCTGTGATCTATGTAGGATGCAACTACCTAAAAAATAGAACAAACTTCGGTGTTTCGAGCCCTTCTATACTGACAACCAGACGAAGGGTCCTTGCTCGAAACGTCGAAGCTTGTCACTATTTTTGAGGTATAGTTGCATTCTACACATAAGCCACGTTGGATACCTGTCCAGCGGTTGTACGTACGATTTTCCCTTGTGCGTTATTTTGCTCAGGACGATTATGTGGATAATAACTAAAAAAATTAAAATTTTCTTCATGAAATACAGCAGAAAAGACGCTTTCCTTATATTAGTCTACTCTTTTCAGGAGTATTATCAGACCTAAAAGCCAAAGTACCAGTGCATTACCAAGGTGTCAACGAGGTATGTATTAACAAACAATGCATGGTTCTTTTTGTATTCCCCCACTTATCTGTGCATGGTTACGTGAGTGTCAAGATTTTGGGCAGTTAAATAATTTGTTGTATACAGGGCAAGTCAAATTAAACATAATGCAAAGCGTAGTAAAGTAATAGTAAATTAGACGACAGCTATCAGAACAAACTGCCAACACTTGAATTTTGGACAGCTTACTAGTGTGGCGGATATGTGCATGGATGTTTCCGAAGAGGGTTAAAAGCACCAAATTGTGCACAGTAGCATCTTTTTATGAGTAGAACAACATGCAAAAGTGGGGCCATCGTGAAACTGGTTTTTTAGAGAGTTACGATGCTATTAGCATTATTTGCTATTAAATTCTACTACAACAAAAAATGTGAAATTTTGAATTCAATCGCGACAAATATAACTTGCATCATCAGAAAGCTTGTAAAAAATACATAAAAGACTTTTAAACAGTTTTTTTATTCTTCAAATGGTTATTGCTGTAAATTAGGCACATTATCTCGCTAAAAGTCCCTAATTAATTATTCGATGTTTGAAAATGCGTTTTTAACAGTTTATAATTCGAAAACTATTTCAGAAATCAAAAAACTGTCTAAATGTCTTATATGCAGTTTTTTATAAGCTTTCTGATGATGCAAGTCATATTTGTTGTAATTGAATACAAAATTTCACATTTTTTGGCTATAATAGAATTCAATAGAAGATTAGCAGCAAAATAGGGATGGCCCCACTTCAAATATCTATTAAGCAAATAAAACTACATCAATTGTAAAAGTTTGATGCTTTTAACCTCAACGGGAACTACTGATCAATAATTTTACGCATATCCGCCTCACTATACGCGTGCTGTATAATGATGATGTATAAAAAGTTTTGTAATGTTCCAGGATCTAATTCATTGCTGTCGTAAAATTATTAGGATGCGAGCGACGGTGCATGATGAACAGATCCCTAGAATTTGCGTACTATTGAACGATAATTCTCTCGGCCGACGTTCGAGGCGAGGTTTTGTTCCCAAAACAACTCTAACGCTTATGGGACGTAGAACCTGGTTGAACATGCGCACTTTAAATGCTTTAATTGGACGAGCAGGACGAGCATGCGCATTTTATCATGTAACGTCCCACAATTGAAACAGCAAATGTTTTTGTATAAGACGTGTGCAGACGTGTGAAAAAGAAAATTGGTGAGAACTTTAAAGGAGTGCTTTATCAGATTAAAAATACGAGAGCGCGGCTAGCCCGCGTGCAGGCCCAAGGAAAGAATAGTGGGCCTGCAAGCAAGGCCCGGTATTTTGTAAAACGCTTTTCATAACACGCCCCATTCGCGCGTCAATTGTCAAAAAAGAACCAATGACAGCAACCCAAATATTAACAAACAAACTCGCATTAAAATGTTGCGGGGTTTATTCTGCTTTAATGTCTTTAATATTCAAAATAGAAACAATGTGTAAATGGCTGTGTTTTAACTCCAAAAAAGCAAGCAACGCAGTCAGTAATTGCCAAATTTACAAGTGCTCATTTTCAACTAAAATCGGAACAGGCAAATTACGACGAATTTCAATAGAAAACCAGTCTCAAACTTCAAATCGTGAGGGAAGTCGTGCGACCACATAGCATTTAAATGTGTGCTTCGCTGTCGCCGTTGTTATAAATAAATTGTGTGCAATTCTTGTTGGCGGCGGAAAGTACGAAATTTATTTCAGTTATTTCATTTGGTAAAGAACTCTACAAAAGAAGAGAGGGTTCAGAGTCCAGATCGTTTCGTTTCAAACGGCAATTAATACTGTCTTCTGTTTCGCTCTCTCAGCGAAGCCTTGCAAATCGCAAAGTGTTTCGAATAGGCTTACATGGAACTGTCTCTAAATCTTCACCGCGAAAAGCGCTGTTTTCTTCAGTGCAAGAACAGAGTCAACATCAATCAAAAGATAATTTTCTTGAGGAACTTAGAACGTATCAAGTCTGTTTGAAATTAGTGTACCCCAGTCGTAATGTTGCTATTCCAACACATCACGACAAGCAATCCCCATTGGCATAACGGCAAAAACATCTCTTCCTTCTAGTAAACATAAAACAGTCCGTTCTTGTTCCATTTTTAATCGAAAACAGTGATCAATTTTCGAATTTTAAGCTTATCGAGAGCACAGAATGTCGAGAGCCTTTGTGATGAATCAGTGATCTAATTATAGAATCCAACAGCAAACAGCCAATCAGAAAGTACAAAATACCGGGCCTTGCTTGCAGGCCCACTATTCTTTCCTTGGGCCTGCACGCGGGCTAGAGCGCAGCTCGAGTGTTTAGTATATCTGATAAAGTGCGGACCGCGAGCGTTTTAAATGGCTTAAAAAACGACCCATCTAAAGAGTTCATTGGCCAAGTAATTTTAAATATAAACGTTGTCTTGGTCGAGAAAATAAAAGCTAAAGTTTATGTAAATGAACATGATAAATTTTAAATTCATTTAATTAAAAGCATAACGAACCAAACTGATATTATATATTAACTAAATACATAATATTTTATGAATATTCTGTAGTGTGCTCAAAATGTAAACAAACCGCAGTACCGCACATCCGCCGAACAGACTTGACCCTATCTTTAATTGTTGATCCAGTTAATCCTCAGGCGTCGAGTGACAGATTTTTGACGGGCCTTAGGAATGACTGGTAGTCTCTTTCTCGTCTATAGAGTCGTATAGCGTTTATCTAGGCGAGAAGGAGATCAGGGGCTTGCGTTTGTAGTTACCTCCTTAAGGGAGTGGTCATTATTTATGGGGAGGGGGGGGGTTGGGAAATGGGGAAAATAAGGATTGAAAACTTTTTTGACCCCCCCTCCAGACTGAAGGCAAACTTTTTGTGCCTCCCCCCTCATAAAAGTAGAAACTTTTCTGACCCCCCCCCCCCAGTGTGGATTGAAAAATTAACAGCAATGAAACATGTGTGCGTTGCAGGTAAAGTTAAATATTAGGACAATCTGTTTAATCTAGCTCATGTTTTACCTTGGTGAATATGATTCAACCATATATGATTAAAAAATATATATTATGTGTTACTACTTTGCAATGCAACATTTGTCCTACCATAACCCTAACCCATGACCCGTCTTCATACAGCGAAATGATTTGAACACAGGTTTTTTTTAAGAACTTGTCTGGGGGGTCAGGGTGGGCATCTACAAAAAGGGACCATATTATATTGAGTGTGGAGAGATGACAGATGGTTGTTGGTGACAAAAAGTTTGGTGTAGTATCGTATGTACTAGTAGGGGGGTCTGGGGGTATTCTCCCCCAGAAAATTTTTGTATTTTTCCACCCCTAGAACTGAAATGTGAGCATTTTCTGAAACAGAATTTTGGATATACAGCGTTACATTGTGCGTTGATAGACCGAATCTGATCAGTTATTAAAGTGTACTTGCATGGTATGTTTATGTAAATACCACAACTGGGTCACTCGAGGGGTAGAAAACTTGTTAAACTTAGTGGGCCCAACTCCCATTATCGCGAGGCGCTACCATGGTTGGCGCCGAGCAGGGAAATTTTGAAAATTTTGAGTCTCTAGATCGTTGGAAATAGCATTTTCAGAGTCTTCTTTTTTGCTATTTGTGATTTTAGAAATCAGAACTCTAGACATGGTATTTAAGTTCAAAAACTTTTATGACCCCCTTTTCTCTGTGTTAAAACTTTTTTGACCCCCCCCCCATTTATAAGGGTCAAACTTCGCTTGCCCCCCCCCCTCCCATCCCCCCCTCCCCATAAATAATGACCACTCCCTAAGCACAGAATAGGGATTCTGTGTCTTTAGGCAATTGTAAATTCAATTGTAAATTAAAGCCGCTGGAATTATGTACATAATCCCACGTATATTGTTATTTTACTTTTTGTACAATAACAATATGCAAATTTGGTAAATTCATGAATTAAGCATGCGCCTAGGTATTGGTGCAAAAAATGAAAGTTTCAGCAGCTATTTAAAGGACTTAAAATTGAGTAAATTTTCTGATATTTGGACCAATAATAAATGGGTTCGTTTCCCACCGTGGCCAGGCACATTTTTCAAGCTTGTCCGGTGTGGATATACACTCAGAGTAACATCACAAGCATCATGTTCACCTGAGTACATTACACCAAGACAGAAAAAATTCACGTAACAAATTTCTCACCCATGAACTCACAATGCATTTTAAACTTTTAAATTTCGCGCGCAAGCCATCTTTAATGCTGCTAAAAAAAAAGACCTCCCCCCTGCTCTGGAAAATATATCTTTACGAATTTTTTTGTTTATTCTACATTATATTTAAGTACCCAAACAATCTATATTTATAAAAAAATTCATGACTTGAACGGATTTGTGAAATTGAGAGTCTTTCAAAATTGTCTACTTTTTTATACATAGGGTCTGTAGTTGTATTTTTCGCAACCGCTCCTGGTTTTAAAAGTCTAAATTCTAAAAAATGTATCAAATTCATCTTCGATATTTCCATCTACAAATCCCTCCCACTTATTATATATTATAATATAAAGAGATATATCACACCATTCGATTGGCTAATAAGCGTGCATGCATTGTAATCATAGAAATAATTAAGAGTTATTGGATGAGGCTGAGCAGGATATCAGAATTATTCAGACCGAGGTCAGCATTATCTGCCGAAGCGAAGTTGAGGCAAATAACGCTGACCGAGGTCTGAATAATTTCGATATCCTGCGTTAAGCCGAATTCAATAATTCTTTTATTATTCAGAATCTTTAAATTAGTTTCAGAATCTTTGTCTTGAACTATTTTTCAATTTGCTCTTTTGAAACCGAAGCAAAACGAGCAGAAGCAGCAGAAGCCATTGTCAAAACAAAATAATTTTACAAAATTTCCCGCTCTTTTCAAATTCATGCAAAATACCGCTGCAAAAATACGCGGGCATTTACAGATACGATATTTATTTGTCATGTTCACATGCAGATACGAGATTTATTTGTCATGTTCATGTCTGCACCGAGATACGGAAAATTATCTGTAGGCTCTGTCAGCGTTATTTGTCTCATATCCTGCTCAGCCTCATCCAGTAATTCTTAATTATTATTCATTGTACTATTTTCTCGTATTCTTATTGGTTGAAAGCCTACAGATAATTTTCCGTATCTCGGTACAGACATTAACGTACATGACAAATAAATCTCGTATCTGCATGTGAACATGACAAATAAATATCGTATCTGTAGGTGCCCGCGTATTTTTGCAGCGGTGTTTTGCATGAATTGGAAAAGAGCGAGAAATTTTGTAAAATTATTTTGTTTTGACAATGGCTTCTGCTGCTTCTGCTCGTTTTGCTTCGGTTTCAACAGAGCAAATTGAAAAAATAGTTCAAGACAAAGATTCTGAAAATTTAAAGATTCTGAATAATAAAAGAATTATTGACCTCGGTCAGCGCCGTTATCTGCCTCTTCACTTCGGCAGATAACGCTGACCTCGGTCTGAATAATTCTGATATCCTGCTCAGCCTCATCCAATAATTCTTAATTATCATTTACTTATTCATTTTCTAAACATATACTTATTCATTTTCTAATTTTACTACAAATAACTGGTGAGAATAATACGTCAGCTCACCAGCTGCAAATAACTGGTGCAAATAATGGCCTGAGCATGAGCAATTTTTCAATTGCAAAATATCGATTCACGTATGCGCATCTAAGATTTTTGAAAAACAATTCAAATAAACACAAAAGTAAACAATTTTCATCAATATGACCATGTTGAACTTCGTGACGGCCACAAAATTTCGAAAATGAATAAGTAAATGATAAAACAATTATTGAACTCAGTTATCGCAAAATATTGTGATTTGTCAGTGGCTCGCACCCTCTGCATGCCTTCGGCATCGGCAAATAATTGATCTGCTCGCCACTGACAAATCACGATATTTTTCTCAACCACGTCCTGAATTGTATATAATTTCCAGGGGCGTCGGAAGCGAGGGACTCGGGCCATCCACTTTTTTAGTTGGTGGACCCCCACTTTTTACTAACAATGGTCAGTAACTAGGGAGATGCTCAAGCATCATGGGGCGAGCCTGAGCCAGAGCATTGAGAGCAATGATAGCCAGCAACTATATCATGCAACAATGATTACTAATGTCAACCTTTCTTGTTTCTGCACTTTAATTAATTACCTCGGGTCGGTACGACAACGAGGTCATAAATTCGGCTCCTATTTTTTTTCCCCATTCTGTGTCGAGCCGCGCGCGTAGTCGAAGAGCCTGCGGAGGAGACAGCAACTTCCGGTAAATAAGTGTACTTCCAGAAAATTTCAAGCATCGGCCAAAGCGAAACGGAACCGGAAGCTGTCCTTGCACAAAATCCGACAAAATTGTTGATTTAAAACCAGAAGATGTGATAATTTTGACATACATGTTTAGCTGGATAACTATTCTCGAGTATATATGTTGATATAATGTACAATACTTCGTATGCATAGCATGGGAATACCGCGGCCAACTTTCACTTGTTTGATACTGCTAAGCATTTTATGGATGGTTCTTACTGTAACTGATAGACAACAATTTTGCCAACTGTCCACTCGTTACATTCTTCGACTGTGGTACAACTATTACTAATGATGGATCAGTTATATGCACCTAATTATATTTTCGGTACTTTGATATATTTTAAAAATATCTGAAGTGACTGTCGTTCTGCTATGTGCAATCAACAAATAGACTGATAATATTGTCTGTTAGTGTTACTAAATACAAGATGAAGTAGTGAAGTAGCTATGTATATCATTCACTCGTCCACAAAATATCCCAAATAATGAATAAATACAGTTAAATAATTGCGTCAGTAAATTCTCTAAATTCATTTGTTCCTGTATTTAACTATTATCAATAAAATGTTAAAACGGAGCTTTGATTGACTGATTCACCATTTATACTAGTGAACTATTAAACTATCGTGATTTACACGATTTTTGCATATTTACCAGACGATGATGCCCTATCCACCAACCCGAGGTTAACGCCGAGTGGGCGTCTTGTTAAACTATCATTGGCATTGCAATGTAGTGTCGAAATTTCAAAGGCAAAACTCGTATTATTATAAATGTTGGGAATTGTAGTATATCTAGCCGTGTATTATATTTGATATTTTGTTCAAAGGCAAAACTCGTAGTATTAATTAATGTTGGTCTAAACGTCGCATTTTACATGTGCCGAATGCATTCAAAACAATAGATAATCAGCTGAAATGCTTCATTATCCATTGTTTTGAACGCATTAATTCGGCGCATGTAAAATGCGACGTTTAGAACAGGCTTTATATTTGATATTTTGTTAAAACATCAAACACGTTATTGAAATCACAATCTTTTCAATCTTTCATGCATGAAATATAAAATAATATAGAAATGGTTGAATGCATGGTTTATGGCAAGCGCGCTAAAAATAGCAGATGCATACATGCACTGCATGTAAGGGCCACTCATTATTTATTGTACAGGGGGGGGATTGAGGAGAAACTGGGGGGCCTTTAAATTTTTTAAAACCTGAAAGGGGGGGCTTTGAAAAAATACAGAGAGACGAAAGAAGGGGGGCTTTGAAAAGATTTACCAGTTTGAAAAAACATTAGTAGTTTTAAAAATGTATCACAAAACAACTTATAACAACAAATAACAATGTTTATATAGACCTTTAATATTCATAAATGGAAGCCAAATAAAAAGTCTCTTATGTTCATGTATTCAAATAGACAATTCACATTATAGACTAATTTTAGAACTAGGCAAAGAGATACAAATCAAGGCCGGATTTTGGTGAAAATAGTGGGGGAGGTGAAAAACATTTTAGGGGAGGTGCAGCGGTCTAGCTCGCAACCCCCATGGAAAGTTAGGGCTTATTGTAGAACAGGCCAATATCAACGAGGTGAGGTATGCATGTAGTGTACATATGTACCAGTGTATTAATGAATTATGACTGTATGACTCCAATCTCGCCCTTCATTACAATTGCTACAAAGTTTTTTTCAAAACATTGCATTAAAAGGGTACTTGACCCAGAGATGAATGGCTGTCACTGTTTCAATTTTACAGAGAAAACTTTCTTACGTCACGAAGTGTAGATCCTAAGCAACCGCCACATTTTCACTTTGTTCCATCATTGAAACTTTCCCAATGGGAGGTGCATGACCTTTCAGGAGGTGCAAAAATTCTCAGGAGAGGTGCAAAACGATCTCAGAGGAGGTGCGCACCTCTCCACACCTCCCCTCAAAATCCGGCCTTGATGCAAATAAATCACCACAGCTAGAAAGAGCATACTAAAATAAGTAAATTATTGCAAAGTTTGGTTGCAAAATGTTGTAAAATACGGAAAATATAGCCTTGCAAAGTTTGCAAATTTTGTATACTTTTGTATTGCATGCGAAAATTGCAATACAAAAGTATACAAAATTTGCAAACTTTGGAAGGCTATATTTTCTACATTTTACTAATTCTAGTATACCCTTCCCGGGAATATACTTTTTTTGCTAAGATAAAAAATTAGTCTATAATGGGAATTGTGTATTGGTCCCCATTATCTATTTTTGTTTCTCTAAATAAAGAGCTAGAGAGTTTTTGTTTCTCTAAATAAAGTTCAAAAACTCATTAATAATTCATGAAGCAATTATCCAATCTTGAGTAAGAAATTAGTCACGTGCATACGTCTTTATACCAGCTAAAGAACACTTTAACAAAAGACCATTGTTATGCAAACTATATAAAGATTTTTATATAAAGATTTTTATATAAAGATTTTTATATAAAGATTTGACTTATTATGCAAACGTTTTTGAAGCCATTTAAAAAACTCGCAGGTCGTGTTTTATTAGGTCTAAAACCACTCGCGTTGCGCGCTCGTGCCTTTAAACCTAATAAAACACTCCTGCTCGTTTTTTAAATAGTACATAAAAAGCTAGAGGGGGACCAAAATTTATGTTCTTGTTTTGCCTGTTGGGGGGGGCTTCGAAAATTTTACTTGTCTTAAGAGGGGGGCAACGAAAAAATATTACAACTGTAGAGTTTCTCCTCAGTCTCCCCCTGTACAATAAATAATGAGCAGTCCCTAAACAAAACATTTAATACGTACAGAGCCAGATTGCAAAAACTTGCAAATAAGGTCTTTTTTTCATAGTCTTGGAGAAAAATAACAGAATTACAGAATATTCAGCCCAAATCAAATCGAAATCGGGCTTTGCTTGCATCAGAATTTGATCCGCAACTCACTCAGAAATGGAGTAAAAGTAAAATGCGATGGGCCTATAAAATCCCTTAATAATACTGAATGTAAACAAAACATTTAATACATACTGTACAGAGCCGGATTGCAAAAACTTGCAAATAATGTCTTTTTTTCACAGTCTCAGAGAAGAATAACAGAATTACAGAATATTCAGCCCAAATCAAATCGAAATCTGGCTTTGCATCAGAATTTGATCCGCAACTCACTAAGAAATCGAGTAAAGTAAAATTTCGATGAAATATACTGCATGTATTAATTAAATTTAATGCATCATACAGAGAGCCGGATTGCAAAAACTTGCAAATAAGGTCTTTTTTTAGAGAAGAATAACAGAATTACAGAATATTCAGCCCAAATGACAAATCAAGTCGGGCTTTGTATCAGAATTTGAACCGCAACTCACTCGAGTAAAGTAAAATTGCGATGGGCTTAATAATACTGACCACTGTAAATAATACTAACCATTCCAATTTCCATTTGTTATTTGGCATGAAGAATATATTTCATCGCATGTCGCATGAAAAATTGTCAGCCGGTGAGAGGCGAAAGGCCCGTAAAATTTACTGTAAATCACTGTATAAAGACTGAAAGTTCTCAAAATAGCCGGTGCGAGGCGAAAAGACGGTAGGATTTAAATCACTGTAGGAAAAGTTCCGTGTACGTACGAACAACCGACGATGATGCATTGCGCTTGAGCTCGATGAGCCACCAAACTGTAGGGCTCGCTCAGGCTCGCCCCAATAAACCACAAAGTTAATTGATATTATTTCAGTTATGCGTGCAGACAAAACAATTTGAGATACTTTTATAACATTTTGTTACCTTTAGAACTCTGTAAATCTCCTTCTAAAGTGCAGGAAATGGCATTTCAGAGACTCTGAGACTCTAGTTTCAAATTTTCCCCAGGGGCGTGCCGCCGGATCACCTAGGATGTCACCCCTCCTTCGGCGGACCCTAAGTGTGCCCACCCCCCACTTTTAGGGCCGCTCCGACGCCTCTGATAATTTCTATGATTGTAATGCAATATTGCACTGCTACTGTTTTGGTTTTTCAATTTTATCGCTTCGCCCTCGCTTTCTGTTATGTCTTTAGTACCCACGTAATGTAAAATTAATTAATTTTCCAATGTGATAAAGTATCTCAGGGACCGCTCAGCAATTTTACGATTGGTGGGGGGAGGTGGTTTTTGTTGACATGCTCCAGAAAATTTTGAAAATTACAAGCCCAAAAAGTGCATTTCCAACTATTTCCCACAATAATTTTGTTTAAGTAACCATGTGTATATTGCCTGATGATGGGCAGATATATTCCTGTAAAACACATGTCTAACCGAAAAATTAGTGAAGATTCTTGCCGATGTTTATCGTATTGTAAAAGAACAATTAGTAATACACAAATATGCACTTTGTTATTATTATTATGATTATTATGAATCTTTATACAGCATATTTAGTATGCTTCAGCATTATAATATATAAATACTATACTATATTATAGCATGTCCTTTGAATACTGCTGTCCCAGCAAATGACTTTCTTTTCTCCCTTAATATTATAATTGTCAACATTATATGTTATTGTTTACCCACTCAGTGCAAAATTTATTAAAATTCCCTCCCATTTCCATAAAATACTTTTCAACACCTTCTTTTCTCCCATCTCTCTCCAATCATTAAGTGCATACTGCAGTAATTTAAGTGACATGGTATTTGGTTATATACGCAGTATTGTGTCGTTAATTTTCCGCCCTGGTACAAAATATCTTTTCACCACTTTCTTCCCTTCCTTGCGAAGTTTCCCATTTTTCCAAAAGTATATTAAACAGTTGAATGTAGAATTCATACCTGTCACAGTTCTCGCCCAACGATGAAACACTAGTAAAATATCGTCGTTTCCTGTTGAGGTAAATTTTACTCCATAGTACACGATGGCGGGAATAGAACAGCAGTAAAAACAAGCAGTTGCTAATAGGCAGGTATAATCATGTTTTACATTCACAAAACGGCTTCTGGTAGAAGTTTTTCTTGCTCTCTCAGCGATTATAAAAATTTTATAGTTCATATAAAATGTTATAACATACGCTATGCTGACAGATACTGCTATTAATATATAGCCCAGAGTTATAAGTGGTTCGATGTTTTTTATTGTTGGCCCAACTACATTCAGTAATTGCATTACAATCATAACAATTAACAATCGTGGTTTAGTGACTGACGCAGTGTGAAAGAAAGGACGATTTGTTGCCAGGAAGCGATCAATATTCATTGTTACGAGTGCTGAGAAAGAAAAGACATACAAAATTCGGCTGAAATATCGCAAAGCCTCGAATACGTAGTTTTGTGTTGCTAGCCAGCCTATTGATGTAATGATTGTCCATGGGTGTGTTATGGTAACAACTGCCAGATCAATGCAAGACTGGACCAAAATCATAAAATAAAATGTCTTGTTTTGAAAGCGTAACAATTTCCATAAACTACATATAACCACTGAATTGAGAAATAGTCCAGCAAATGTAAAGAAAATGTTCACAGCACACAACAAGGCAGTGTTAAAAATATTTCCATTCATTTTGCTAAAAAGGTAATTAAACGACTGCTTCAACTAATTTCTTGAACATATAATGAGTTCTCAGCTTTCAAAGTTCCTTTCCAGCACAGGTTCTGACAAAAATGTTTCTGATTTGCAAAACAATAGGCTAGTGTAACAGTTGTTTAATTAATATGCAAATTTACCGTGAGATAAGACAAGATATATCTTAATAAGAAATCTCTAGTAATTTTGTTTTATTTTTTCCAAGTATAAACAAAATATTATAACTAGGTGTTACTATCGCAAGGAAACTGAACGCTCAGATCGAGAACGACTGGGCAACAATTGGGCTATTTCGTGATGTTCAAAGCGCCAATAAAGAAGCACTGTTCTTCGCTGGAACATATAGTGATTAGAGAAATCATATGGGCGCTTTCCATTTAATGAATTTTTGTCTCTATCAATGGAAAGATCTGGTCTATGTTTCTCAAATATCTAGCGAAAATGGACCTCTTTCCAATTTTATCAAAAAGTTCCGGTCAGATAGGTCCAAAGCCCAAACGTTTTGTGTTTCATTCAGCAATTTGACCGTTCTGACAGGTCTGGCCGTGGTAATGGAAAGCTCCCATAGTCTATTGAGAATTTGAGATATCAATGCCTGGAATCCTGGCAAACTTCAAAGCCACAGAATAGAAGATCTTTGTTTGATGTTGAACTATACCTGACCGTGCACGAATCCTTTATCTCAACTTCATTAAATATTATTCATCGTGGCTGCACGTTTCATCTCAGCTATCCCTATTGGACGGTTACTTAATTATACGAAAATACAATGAGCTCAATCACGTGACCATGCACAAATTAACATAAACTCAAACATATAACAAACACTTCTGTTTCAAGTTTCCAGACCATCATATCTTAATAGACTATGGGGGAATGAGTGCTTAATTATACGCTCGTGGCCGTGATTATATGAATATTTGAAAAATAAACAGATACATTTTACATATAGTACTTGAAAGAATACAACTTTGTGCAGAGCGTCAGATCGATATTTAGATGACGCGAGTAATAATCATAGTCAAACGTTAATTTGTGGCTTGCAACTTCAGATAAACAGCAGTGGACCTACATTATACCTTTTTCCAAAATCTTTTTGATAGAAACATAATTGGTATAAAGGTATTTAATTATATTATCACTGCTTTGGTGTAAAATAGTTAATATTTTGTAACCGAAATGATAATTTGAAATGTATCTACTACCTACCTCTTGCAAATGGACGTATTTGGCCAAATTCTCCACTTTACTCCGCTGTTTATTGCAGATCTCGTTGAAATCCTTACGGGTATGTACATCAGCTCAAACATATTTTAAACAAGTTTTAACTGGATTTCAAGTATAGATCCTAGCTGTTTAACCATCGACAAGATAAAACCTCAACTTTGTCCAAATGGACAACTTGCATGTTAGACTAAATTTTAATATAAGTAAAGAGAAGGGCATCAAACTCAACAGCTAAAAAGAACATAATGAAATTAGTAAAATTGCAAAATTTGGTTGCGAAATGTTGTAAAGCTTGGAAAATATAGTCTTGCAAAGTTTGCAAATTTTGTATATGTTTGTATTACGTGCGGAAATTGTTACCATTTTCGGCTCGAAAATGGTAACAATTTCCGCACGTAATACAAATTAACATATACATAATTTGCAAACTTCGCAAGGCTATATTTTCCGCATTTTACAACATTTCGTAACCAAATTTTGCGATTTTACTAATTTTAATAAGTTCTTTACGGGAATTCACTTTTTTTGCCTGGATCAAAAATTAGTCTAACATGCAAGTTAGCTGGGGAGGCCGAGAAAACCCAAGAGGGGCCAAGGAATTTTCACTGTGCTTTATTTTATATGATTATGTCTTACTGTTCCCCACACTAAAGCGTGCAAGTTTACTTACAAAAAATGTATAACCGCACCAAACCCTAAAACATCAAGGGATAGAGTAGAGTACTCGAAAATGGGGGGCGGGTGCAGCATATGAATGACCCATAACCTTGGGGGTTCGGGGGCATGCTCCCCCGAGAAAATTTTAAAATTTGAACCTCGGAAATGCTATTTCCTGCGTTTTCAGCCATGGATTCGTCCACGACAACTTTGCTGTACTAAGCCTAAGAAACACTTACAGTCCCTTATTTTAAACAAGGGAAAATCACAAAATGAGCTTTGATTAATATGTAATAAAACAAAATTTCAATAATGCGATTTTAAATTAACTGCCTTCCGAAACAACAATGTTCCACCAAATATATAGCTCTGTAGCTTTTCAATCGTTCATACAGATAGCTTGTTGGGGATTGGGTTGCATCCTCTTCAGAAATTTTTTAAAATCTAGACTCTCTAAACATTGTATATACAGTACGTTCAACTTGCATCCTGTAGACCCACCTTTGAAGCTTTAATAGTTTCTAGCTATGTTATCAAAAAACGCACACAGACTCAACCATCCAAAAATACTTTTTCTACCATGCATATTATTAGATATGTATAAATAACTTATAAACTTGTACATATCTTAAGCCCAGATCTTCTCAAGGGGAGGGGGGCAACAATTTTGCCAGGGAACGCCACTGGCTATCGTATGTTAGAGGCTCCAAAGGCGGTAAAACCCCTGTGATGTTGTCCACTGTTCACCCCGTGTTCGTTTAAGCAAATGTGCTTGCTCAAAAATGCAAAATCTTGCAAGCCTGTGGACACAATACTGAAGTGAAGAGCGTCAGTAGATTTACATGTAGGAATTTTTTTTTGAGCGCTCTCTTTTGCATGATATTTTTTTTTCTCGATTGTATGCTGCATGATTTTCTCCTTGGGTTGCAGAAAATTTTTTTTCGAAATCTTCCAACACCCCCTCAAAAGTCAAATGGTCCGCCCCTAATAACAAATTTAACCCTTTATTAAGGGTATAAAAATAAAAATATTAACAAAAGATAAGAAATGCATAATTTTATCACCCTGTAAAATGTTGCTTACGAGTCCTTCAAAACATTTCGTACAAATCTCGCGTGGCAAAGTAACAGGGACGTGACAGGGGGGTGGATACTTCAAAAATGCAGTACGGTAAAACCAACAATCAACATTGAATTTGTATGACATGTTCATATTAATAATATGTATTTAGTGAAAAAATTCGTGAAAAAATTCACCCCCCTCCCCCCTGTTTGCCACGCGAGTTTTGTACGGAATGTTTTGAAGACTCGTAAGCAACCTTTTACAGGATGATAAAATGCTACTTTCTTTTCTTTTGTTAATATTTTTAGTTTCGTACCCTTTATAAAGGGTTAAATTTGTTATTAGTGCAATCGAAATGGCTTGGATGGAAGAATAACAAGGCCGAACTGTTAACAACCGACACGGGATGACAAAATGGCGCCGAATTTGAACAAAGTTGAGGTTTTACCTTGTCGATGGTTAAACAGCTAAGATCTGCTTGAAACCCAGTTTAAAATGTGCTTGATACCATTATGTTTGAGCTGAATTGCATATTTGGAAGGATTTCAACGAGATCGGCGATAAACAGCAGAGTAAAGTGGAGAATTTGGCCAAATACGTCCATTTGCAGGTGGTATAGGTACATTTTAAATTATTATTTCGGTCACAAAATATTAACTATTTTACACCAAAACAGTGATAATATAATTAAATAAGTACCAATTATGTTTTCATCAAAAATATTTAGGAAAAAAGGTAATGTAGGTCTTTAATAATTTCACACTATTCCAATGTCCAAATTTTGCATGCTATATTGCACCGCTAAAAACTTTCATTATACAAAAAATAAAAAATTCTGTAATGCCAAAAATATATTACCGAAGAGTACGACATTTTCCAAAAAAATGGCGTTTATATTTTTATATATTTTTATATAATTTTTTTGTATTTTGCTAATTGAGAGTTTTTCTTCCAAGCAAAATAATGCACGAAAAAAATTGGGGGTCACCATGCTTCTTTTCCAACTATATACGAGCCGATAGGCCATTTTGGAGAGAATTTCGTACACGTACAGTATGTCGTCATTGCAACGAACTATCTGTTACTAAAAGTAATATCATTTGAAAGTAGAGATATCAAAGTATAATATTATAAAACCCCCAATATCTGCTGAATAAATCCTAAAAATGCGTAGTTTGAAAATGTCAAAGTGTTGAACACCTGAATTTTTGAAAAGTGTATCGAGCCACCTTAAGGGGAATCACTACATTATGATGGGATGTTAATTGAAAGAACACTCATAATACGCTCGAGATATTAATAATTTATTAATAATCTTTCTTAATAATCTAAATATGTGTTGTGGGAAAATGATATGTTGCATGCCGATCATGGATAAGCCTGCACTCATATATAACCGGCTATAGTCAGGCTCATACTGGAGCGATACCGGGAAGAACCTGCATGGGTTCAAAAATTATTTCTGGACTGAAGATGCATAATAAACCATATGCACTGAAGATGATTAATTCGTTTTTAATTACACTGAATAACTGAAATCATAATTTTATTTTGTTTTGTTTTGTTGGGCACTTGTTTCTATTACTCTTACAAACTTTCAACAAGCTTAATAAAGGCTCAAATTGAGAAAATACTAGTGAACCAGAATAAATGCAGGACATTGGACTTCTATTCTGTTGCTATACTGTTTTTCTCGCCCTCAGATCAGCTCGACAATGAACCGGGCGGGCGCTCCTCGAGCGTCGCGGCTCGTTGTCATTGCTGCTGCGTACACGTGGACCAATCCCTTCTGTAACCGTTCTTATTTCACCGAAAAGTACTCTCAATTAAATCAACAATTAATCAATTTAATTCAATTTGTCTAATAAACGTCCGATCAATATTTTTACATTTCTAGGAGTCCCTAAAACATCCACTGGGTAAACGATTGACCAGATCAATGTCTCAGCTGAATAGAGAATATTTTGAATTACAACAGAGTGGAGTGTAAGTATTAAACGCAACATTTAGTAATACATACCTTAAATCGCATGTGAAATCAGTGCCTGTTGTTGGAATGTCAATAAAGCCCGTTTTCCACTCACGTATTTCGCCGCCGCTGGCGAAAAATTTTGACAAAGAAATCATTTTTTTACATTCATTCGCCGCTGAAGAAATTTGTTCTCCTGCTACAGTTGGCTTAAAATTTTCAACTTCTGTTTGACCTTTCGTTGACGGCGCGAAAGAACAACAAATGAACTTTTTCGGTGGCGAAATTTTTCGCCAGCGGCGGCGAAATAGGTGAGTGGAAAACGGGCTTAATAATGGTTTGCCATGCATTCATGATGCTACATAGGCGGCGGAACGGAGGGGCTTGGGGGGCTATAACCCCCCAAAAACCGGATAAGATTCCAAATTTTGAAGTTTATAGATAACAATTAGGCAAATGTAGAGAAACAATCCAGGAAAGATGAAAGAAAACCGGTACGTATCTAATAACAAGTAGGAAATACGTTAGATCTGGATTATTCCGGTCATTACAGTAGCCATGAATATTCCGGGGGGAATTTTTTTATATGTAGTAGTAGTAGAAATAGTTTATTAAAAATGTACACATCGCAGTCTGAATTACGTGTCAATTTACATAGTATATGTAATATATACATGCCGATTAGCTACTAACTAGGCGTAACCACAGGTTAAAAAGTGCGACCTGGAGACTTTAGTCACTAATGACAACGCGCCGGCTCACGCTGTTTTGGCCAGATAGTTGGTGATCATCCTTTACTTTTGCCAAAAGTCAGTCGGTCGGTCGGTCGGTTTTTTTTTATTTTTTATATAACGATTTGCGTCAAATAAACATGCACATGACAAGGTACTTTATTTCATATTGTCTATTGATATATTCAAAATAAAAAACAGTAACAACTTTTCAAGTTTATGCAAAGGAGTGGCGATAATATATGGGCCAATATTGCTCATTATATAATAAAAGTCGGCCCATTTACACTGAATATCCAATTTAGATAAATTTATCAAAATATTAACTTGACTAATTGGTATCCAATTACGTCACTTGCTACAAATTACATAACAAATAGTTACATTTGTGGTTATATTGTCGCTACAGCGCAAAGTCGCCTTCTATGAATAGCATGTCGTGTCAATAACAATACCGATTGACAAAGCGCAATTTAACGATAAATATTAAAGCCCGGCACATGACTTTCAAACAACAGACGTTTCTTTGTATACATCACAACATCCTCATGCACAGCATTTAAAGGTGATCTACAGTCCGATCTGCGCATGTGCACAAATGAGCCCACTTTTTATGATACAAACAGTTTAACTATGTTTTGAGTTCTTGAAAAGCCTGATTGTTGTTTCTTGATCATTTATTATACTCTAGAAGCTTGAAAATATAAATAGTTGTCGAATAAAGCTCAATATTTTGGACACAAAAATGTAAACAAAGGCTTTGTTTACATACGGACTGTAGATCACCTTTAATCTTTTTGATTATTTAAATCTGTCTTCAATAACAGACTTACAACAGTTAGCAGATGCTAAGTTAAGCTTCATTTGATGTACAATTTGATGAACAAAAGTTAAAGGTACATGTATAAAATTGCATCAGTATCGATGAGTAAATAAAACACTGGGCGGCATAACAGCGGCGGAAATACCGTTTCATGCGGTCTTCCAAATATGGAAATATGTTCCAAATATGGAATGCAAGCCAAGGTGAATCGGTGAATCTTGAGCCGGGGCTAATCCGAACTCAGCGGTATATTTAAATTTTCTACGCACAGATTAGGATGCTCCCAGCTCGCTCGCTGGTGCTTGCTCGCTGGTCGCAAAAATTTATAATTACTTTCTAATTCGCTACGCTCAAACGAACGTAAATTATTTACTTCCTATATTCTACAAATCTTCACACATAAACATCGGATAACATGGGTAATGCTCAGTACACCACTACTATAGGATTTTTTATTCACCTTTTTTTCTTAATTTTTATTTTTACATACTTCACTGATATATTGTAATAAACACAATCCAACAGAGCAATAATTACACAATTAACTATCCGTATTACGTATACTGTATCTAAAGTCCAAGATTCTCAGTAACAAGCAGTCGGTTCTTAACACTTTCGTGCACATACAAATCCTTGGCAATATCATTTTTCCAGCGTCCATGTAACTTCAATTGTCTTTCTGTAACATTCCCATTATTGGCTGCTGCTGTAGCTCCACCTGATCTCAAACTGTGTAATCCATATTTCTTTTGATCGTAACCAATTTCTTGTAGACATTCTTTGAATATTTCTCGGCAACTTGTGTATGAAAGTCTTGCTCCATATAATTTGAACAGATTAGAAGACCTAAAAAATCTCAAAGGTCTAAAAATTGGTAAATTTGGTTCAGAATATGCGTTCGTCACTTCGGTGTAACGTCGTAAAACATCCACTGGGCAATAGGCAATACTCGTTGCCTAATTTCTTTATATATACATAGTTTCCTTCCCTGTATATGTCATTTTTTGCATACGGTATAAATGCGTACATGATCATGTTCATAATGAATATGACTGCCGACATGTTCGCCAATTCGCTGTACCGAAAAAATCCACTAAACCTAAGACTACATAAACATGCTATTCTCAGACCTTTTACATCTGCGTGTGGATGCGCGTGTTTTTCGACAATCTTTTGTATTATCTCGGCTGTTATTGGAGCTTTAATTTCTTATTTATAGGTTGTAGCTTCATTCTTTTAGCAGTTTCTAGGATATTCCGACAAACTGGGGTGTCTAAAGGATTTTCGATCTGATACGGTACGAATGTATATGGAACCACTTCAACGCTGCGTGAGCAGCAACAACGTTCGCATACGATTTTAATTCATCATGCCTTTTATACAGGTAAACAGCCGCCGTTGATACAGGTATTGGTATAATTACCTTACCAAAGGCGATTACATTCCACTTCAGAAACTTTCGAATTTCTTGCAGGTACTTTTTAGAGGTAGTATCCGCCCTTGATTTTAGCAGAAAATCTATGAAAACCTTGGTGTCAGGTTTCACATGGCTGGGAACATTTTTCCACACTGCACACTCGCTTAACATCTAAGACAAACAAAATAAAACAACAGAATAGGATTAATATGAAATTCCAAAGTATATCACGTACACATCTTCTTTGATCAGATCGGAACCGTTACATTATATTGGAGCATTATTACAGGGACGAGCGTCCCAAAACAACGTCACGTTGCGGTCCATGTACAAGCCAGCGCCTTTTAGTATTTACACATATATCATTGCTATAACCAGGTCAGTGCCATTAACTCTGTTTAATGTTAACTTAGAACAGGGCCAGCGCCCTTGGAAGGAACCGGTTACATCGGCCAGCGCCGTCTTTATATTCAGAAAAAATTCACTCTAAGGGCTAACATTTTCCCACAAAACCGTTCCGAGCCAAGTAAGGAGTTTGTATTTCTCCCGTGTATTAACACTTCACTGCCATTAAGCACTTTATACTCAACTATGAAACTAGCCAGGTGTCTCGATATAACCGGCCAGAAATACGACGGGACAATTACTGTCGCTTTCGCTTTATGTTTTTGTAAATAGTGTAAAGCTCTGACTATAAGGCAAATAGGTGGAACTACAAGACAATTCTCTCCTGTTCATACTTTGGACAAAAAAGTCCACTCCCGTACAACCTGGATTCCAGTGCCATGAGAAAAACCTTCGGGTTTTTGTGTTGTAATACTGAATGAGCAAAACAATCGATCGTGTGAGGGCCCCATGCTTCCTCCACTAGATCGAAACACTTATCCGTTTTCTGCCAGTCGTCAATGTCGATAAGTTTACTTATATACAGGGTGTATCAAAATAAACGCAATTCATCTTTTGTGCTTAATAACTTTCGAAATACTATTTCTAGTTAAACGCTTTTAGGCTTACTTCAAAGCCTGTTCTTTTCTCTTTCAAACGAACTATTATCCTTGTCTCCAATGCTAGTAATAATTGCACAGGAAAAGATTTAGTAAAACCTATCATTTTTAGTTGCTGTTTAATTATGCAAGTTTACTATGTTATTGTTTAGTCGGTTTAAATGTTAGAATTTTCTTCTTTAAACTTTAATGTTGTCGTCACTACATCTGGAAAACCACGTAGGAACAAATTAAAAGTATTTTAAAAGAGACCAGGTTGTTTGAAAATCCTAAACGAATGCTAAAAATCGTCAAAACATTCTGGTGTCTGAGCCAGAGTGTCATCGAATTACGATGTAATGTAAACAGAAATTATAGCAAGTTGATGTCAGTCAGCTTAGATGGTCCAAGCCAAAATTATATCGCATTTGAAGTTTCAAACTGAGTTAAAAATAGTGGAAGAAAAGCCGTAATTATACTTGTTACAATCCATTTAATAAAATGCAACATTTTTTTGTTTTAATGAAAAAATCAGTTATTTTCATGAGAACGATTTGTTATTCCATCTCAATTTTTTAATCTCCAATCGCAATAACGTAAAGTATTATTACCCGCGAACCAATGAGTCAAATTTAAGAAACAACCCACTGTTAGAAAGCTGAATGGCTACGCTTTAAAATGAATGTAAACTTTAACGTTTTCATCTATTATTTGTTTAGCAATTTACATTTCAGTCGAGGATTGCGCTTTTTTTGATACACCCTGTAGTCTGCTTTTTGTATCTCCGTACGTGGAATCCACTCAATTTCGAGTTCTATTTTATGATCTAGACAGAGCTTGTAAATTCTAATTGCTATGTTGTGTAAGTCCTTTTTCATGCTACCGACTCGAGCAATGCTACATGCTGTTTGACTGTCAAAAAACCACTTCACGTAAGCATGATTTAGTATTGGAAGAAATTATTCTAAGGCATATTCAATTGCGGAAAGCTCTCTCCAAGTGGAGCTATATTGGCTTTCCTCTTTTGTCCATTGTTTATGGCAGATTTGTTCCCCATTTAATGACATATGTGCTCCACAACCCGACGCACTTGCGTCTGAATAAACAACATAATGTGACTGATTTCTTGCTTGGTCAAGTTCCCTTGAATTCAATTGTTTTAAATTACTTTCCCAAAATTCAATCTCTCGTATAGTATAATCATCTAAACTGAATTTTGAATCCCAATCGCTGGATGCTGCTACTGACATGCTACAATACCTGGTCATTATTTGACACACGTTTCGTGTAACTGAGCTAGTGGAAATTATCTTTCCTGTAAATGATGCAAGTTCTCTGGCGGATATATAAACTTTCTGCGATTTCAAATACTCAATGGTTTGGAATATGCTCGTTAGCCGGTGTTCTGTGATGGAAATTATGCCCCTTAAGGAATTCCAGATCAGACCGAGCCAAACTATTTCTTGACACGGTTTCCAGTACATTTTTATGACTTCTCCGATACTTTTCTAACGGTTTCAAACATTTTGTAAATACAACTAGGTGCAGTTGATAGACCAAACGGTAAAACGGTAAACTGATAATATGTGAACGATTCATCTCAGGTATCTTCCAAGCAAACCATAGGAATGTTTGGGAACCAGGATGAATGTCGATGTGGTGATAACCACTTTTCAGGTCAAAGGAAATCATAAAGCAACCTTCGTGAAAATATGTCAAAGCAGTTTTCCAGTCTTCGTATTTAATGTTTTGTTTTCGTACATAATTGTTTACATGCCTCAAATCCAAAATAAGCCGCAACTTTCCGGAGGGTTGGACTGAAACAGATAATGGATTCACGACGTGTGGCATACTATTTGTTTTTATTTAATTACCCTATTGGATTGCAGTAACAAATCGCTTGTTGTACAAAATCTTTATGTCGTAAAGCGGACTTGTTGTTTCGCAAATAAGCAACAGGTGGAATTTCTATGAATGGTATTTTATACCCTTCTTGAATAACGGAAAGGACGAAATTTGGCGCGCCAATTTTTATCCAAAATGTAATATGTTCTTTCAGTCTGCCCTTAACTGAAGGCGTTACAACTGTTTCTAGTTCACACTCATGTTCATTTTCTAATAGCTGATAAATCCAGTCTTTGGGGTTGTCGCTATTTTCATCGTCCACTTGTACTTTCAACTGCTGCTCCTGCTCCTGGTCTGTTTTCATGTGTTGGATTGGCAAATGTGAAGCCACTTCTGTTAGGCCGATAACTGACTGGCCATGATGCTCTACAGTTTCTAGCCTAGGCGCTGACACCTATAGCATCGTTTTTCCTGGACACCAAATTCTGCACGGCTTAATAATAACAAAGATATGTACAATATCCAACGAGTTATTATACACACTGAATCTTTTTAACACTCGCGGGTGGGTATGTGGGTGGGTTGTGTAGGTGTAGTAAGAGGATACCAGTACGTTTACAATCGAGGATTTATATACCTAGCATCAACCAATTGAATCTAGCCCATACAAATTACAAATTAATGCATAACGACCTGAAATGCAAATTTGTTTAGATACCGTAAGAAAATACATTATCTAAAGGTTAATTAGACTAAATATTAAAACACTATCTTTGGGCTTTAGAAGCATAATAATAAAACTGTCTTTAAATCGGTTCGTCTTTAAAACTGACAATTCATATTTAAAGTTAGATCTGAGAGTAATATTATTTAAATTGAGTGGATGTAATAAGTGGGCTAATTTGTGATTATTGTTAAGAGATACCGAGATATTCTCTACAAAAGCTCTCTTCTATCCGCCAAGGATTGCAGGCCTGTTATTTGCGTTACCATAACTTTCCTCTCGATAAAACATGCGAATTAATTACTAAGAAATGCCTGGCATGCATATTCGAGAATTAAGTGATTGGATGCATGCACGTACAGTAGAATTGCACTAAAGAATTCGTGTCCACACCTGCATGTTCTTTTCAAAATTTTTAAGAAATATAGCCGCTTTGAAGCCTTGTGAGTAATGCAGTTTACATATGTTCATTCCATTTGAGTCTTGTCTAATAATGACATGCACCAAGAATTTTGGCAGACTGGACAACTTCAAAAGCTTGATCGTTGACAGTTATTGCGTCGTTTGTATATGCCGATGTCTACTGAAATCAATTTGAAGCTCCTTACATTTCCTAGAATATAATTGGAAATTATTTTCCTTTGACCAGTAATTTAATTGATCCACTTGTTCCTGTAATCCACTTCTTTCGGTTTCTGAGATTATTTCCGAGACTCTGGTATCATCTGCAAATTTCCATGATGCAGGTATCCCTAAATTATTGATCATCTCCAAAAATAGCTAGGGACCAATTTCAGTGTCTTGTGGAATTCCCGCTGGGACTATTTCAAAGTTTGAAGCAATTTATGGGAATTAGCCCCCAAAGTTAAAATTAACTTTTCCGCCGCCACTGTGATGCCACACGTGCACATCATGTCAGTTAAAATAGCCTTTCCGTTTCAAATATTTTGTATTTGTGACGTGACCAATTTAGATCACCCTATCTTGGGTACCCTGTAGAAAGACAGTCACGTGACGAAGCAGCATGTTTGTATTTTGTACTTTTTTCTAGCTTTATTAAAACGATACTTAAACCAATAAAATGTAGTATTTCGCGTGATAGTTGAACGGGTAACATAATTTGGAGCCTTCGGAGGGATCTCGAAAGACTTCGAGAGAATATTTGGACAGTATATACAACGTTATTCGTTTAAAATGAACGCGAATTAGCCGAAAATATACTAGCTGAAAATCCAAGATGGCGGGCGAAGAGAATTTTGAAAAACTTGACATAAAAATTGAGGAGGACATACTTTCCCTGGACGTAAATGAGCTTGTTAAACTGCCAAAAAAGTTAGAATGGGGTGAAGAAAACATAGAAGGTAAAAGTCGATCGACGTGTTTTATCTAAACTAGTGAGAAAAACTATTGACGAAAATGTGGAATTATGTCAGACTGTCCCAAAGAAAGTTGAGTATTTACAAGCTACAAGAGCTTCTAGAAATAGAACCACCGCCACTGGAAGACACAATTAACTGAGGATACTCAAGATAATACTGGAGATGTGGCTGCTTCTCAGATTCCAGCACCACTGAAAGAAACTACAGTCTACAACAAAAGTTGTAACTGTAAGTAGTGGTCAGTCAAGTTCTTTTACTGTTTATCGTAGAGAACTGAAGATTGTTGGCATGGTAGGGTCTGAGAGCCAGAAAGACAGATTGTCTTTTGTTAGCTTAACCCGTCAAGTCGAGTCGGGGAAATCTAAGGGATATACTGAAAGCGAAGTAATTGAAGCAGTTATCCGAGCAATATGCCCAACACTCAAGCTCAGGAAGCAACGGAAGGGCTAACATTAAAGAAACTTCTCCAGATACTAAAAGGACACTATAAACAAAAGAGTGCTACAGAGTTGTATCATGAACTGACAATTTTGTGTCAAGACCCAAAGGAAAGTGCTGAAGATTTCTTAATAAGAGCCTTGGAGCTTCGACAACAAGTGTTATTTACTTCCCGTGTAATGGAAGAGGATGTTAAATACTCACGTGAGTTAGTTCAAGCTGTTTTGTTAAGAGCGTTGGAAACAGGGATCAAGAGTGAGACCATTTGTGCAAAGATGAGACCTGTGTTTAAGAAATATGACGTCACTGATGAAGAGTTAATTAAGGGAGTAGGTGATGCAATGTCTGATGAGACGAAGCGATTAAATAAATTAACCTTCTCGTCACGGAAACAAGCTGCAAAGGTAAATTCCTGTATGTATGATAAAGATGGGCAAGAATCGAAAGCATCCAAGAATGTACAAAGTGGAGAGAAAGGCAAGCGTGACACTTTAATGATGACATTAGAGGCTGTCAAAACTGATATAGCTAATATCAAAAGTTATATATGGCTGCAAATAACAACCAAGGATTCGGGAATGATGCAAAACAGAGACCAGCCTGCCCAAAGTGTAAGTCACAAGGAAATGGGAAATGTACCCATTGTTATATATGTGGTTCGGACGAACACTATGCAAGGGGATGCAAACAGAGATCGGGAAACGGGCGAGGACTCCTTCAGAGGGACAGGAAGTAGTCCAAGATAGCAACAAGTCTCAGTTCTGTTTGAGCCAGACCCTGAACAACCATGGCCCACAGGTCTTGAAATCGAAGAGACACTGACAAACATAAATAGTGGGTTCTTCTCCCGGGTGGTTATTCAAGCGAGAAATTCCACCAATCATGGATATTTTGCTTCCAAAAAGAACTATACTTGGACGATAACAATTAGTAAAATCTGTTACACCTGTTGAAGTTATGGAAAAGTGTGATAAAGAAGCACCAGCTAATGGAGTGTCGGTAAATGATAATAAGTTGAACACGAATACCCCAAAGACCTTTTCCTTTTTGGATACCCGTAGTTGATTTAAATGGTCTGACTGAGAAACAAAAATTAGTCGCTCAACAAATGCTTCTCGAAGAGTCAGATTGTTTCTCACGAGATGAAGATATCGGTTGTAGTGAAGAACTTAAAATGAAGATCAACTTAACAGATAACATCCCAGTTCAAAAGAGCTATATAATTTAATACTAAAGCCCTTATATGCAGAGGTAAAACAGTATATTGAGGATCTTTTAAATCGGAAATTTATACGTAAATCTAAATCAGCTTATTCATCACCTGTCGTTTATGTTAGGAAGAAGGACGGTACTTTACATTTGTGCGTTGATTATAGAGAACTCAACAGACGACGGACTATTACGGATCGTCACCCCCTACCCAAAGTCCAAACAACACTCGAGAATATCGGCGGAAACTCGTGGGTTTCCCTTTTAGATCAGGGGAAAGCTTACCATCAAGGGTTCATAGAGACTGCGGATCAACATAAGCCCATGGGGCCTCTATGAGTGGGTAAGAATCCCTTTTGGTTTAAAAAATGCCCCTGCGGAATTCCAACGATTTATGGAGTCGTGTCTGGAGGGACTTCGAGACGAAATATGTTTACCTTATTTAGATGACGTAATAGTTTTTAGCAAGACTTTCGACGTTGAACACCTAAGAACTGTTATAAGGCGTCTTCAAGATCATGGCGTAAAGCTCAAGCCTAAGAATTGTAACCTGTTTCATCGAGAAGTTCATTGTCTTGGTCGAGTTGTCTCAGAATGCGGATATAAAATGGATCCAACTCAGGTACAAGCAGTTCTGTCATTAAAGATTAGAATAAACAACCCAAAACTGTTGGACATTTATTAGGATTGTTAGGCTACTACAGAAGATACATTCAGGATTTTTCTCGAGTTGGAAAACCCTTATTCGACCTTCTCCAACGATCAAATGAACCGAGTAACGATAAGTCGAAAACATCCCAAGTACCATCTTCCAAAAGTGTCTCATGGAAGGACGAACATAGTTCAATTTTAGACCAATTAGTGACGCGGATTACGAGTGCTCCAATTTTAACATATCCAGACTACAACGAACCATTTGTTTTACATAAGGACGCATCTCAGGAAGGACTCGGTGCAGTATTGTACCAAGAACAGAATAGTGAAATGCGCGTCATCGGTTATGGTTCACAAAATCTGACCCCTGCCGAGAAAAACTATTACCTACATTCGGGAAAACTCGAATTTTTAGCACTAAAATGGGCGGTGCATGTGCGAACAGTTTTGCGATTATTTATATTATGCCAAGTCGTTCACAATATTTACGGACAATAACCCATTGACATACGTGTTAACGTCTGCGAAATTAAATGCAACAGAGCACCGTTGGGTCGCAGAATTAGCGGACTACAACTTTACCATCAAATATAGACCTAGAGCAGCAAACAAGGACGCAGATGCCTTATCGAGAATGCCGATGGACATAGATGAATATATGAAATTGTGCACCAAAGAAACCTCGCAAGACAGCGCACAAGCGTGTATGATTGGAATTCAGGCACAAGAACCGTGGATTATTGCGATCATAGCAAATCCCGAGGTACTGAACACAAGCGAATTAATACCCGAATTAAGTGCATTACAAAAATTGGACCCTAACGAATTTATACGAGCTCAAGACAGCGATCTGTGCATCGGGAAAGTCCGAACGTTAAAGGCAAAGAACACATACCCAACAGAGGAAGAGATAAACCGTCTAATACCAGAGGCTAAAACTTTGCTGAGAGATTGGAAAAGATTAGAAATAGGAACTCACGGAATATTGAGGAGAAAACGAGGACCATTGATGCAATTGGTGCTGCCGCATTGTTATCGTATGACAGTTTACAAAGAGCTTCATTAGAATATGGGTCACCTGGGAGCTGAAGGAGTATAGTTGAGCTTGCAAGGGAAAGGTTCTTTTGGCCGCACATGCAAAGGAACATTACGCACTTTGTAACCAAGGAATGTAGCTGTGTGAAACAACGAGCTCCAGCGAAGAAAACGCGTGCCCCATTGCAAAAAAATATAACTACTTATGCGCCACTTGAACTCGTCTCAATGGATTTCCTACACCTTGAACGAAGCACTGGCGGGTACGAATACATTCTCGTAATAGTCGACCACTTTACTCGTTTCGCACAAGCGTATCCAACCAGGAATAAAGAAGCGCGAACCGCCGCAGAAAACTGTACAACGATTTTATTCTTAAATACTGATTTCCAAGCCGGATTCTACATGATCAGGGATGGGAGTTCGAGAATAAATTATTTCATCAATTAGAAAAATCGTGTGGGATAATTCGATCGAGAACAACACCGTATCACCCACAAGGCAACGGTAAAGCAGAAAGATTCAATAGAACGCTTTTGTCCATGCTAAAGACACTGCCAGAGAATCAGAAAAAACGATGGGACCAACATGTCTCGAAAGTTGTACATGCATATAATTGCACGAGAAATGATGCTACCTGTTTTTCGCCATTTTTCCCACTTTTCGGCCGTTCTCCAAGATTACCGATAGATTTGATGTTTGGTTGTAACAAAGTTGAAGACAGATTCAACCACAAATTAAGATTATGTGAAAAAGTGGTCTAGTGCAATGAATGACGCTTATACATTCGCCAGCGAACATGCTATTAAAAACAGTTCAAAAGGAAAGAGACATGATAAAGGTCGAGAAATTCTACGTTAATTAAAGCCTGGTGATCGTGTACTAGTATAGCCTGCGAACAGGCTCTCTTTGAACTCTCTTTGAAATTTGAGAAAGAGCCTGCAGGCCTAGCTAATAAAAACGCGTATGTGCGTTGTTTAGAACGACGCAGGGTTCCCATTGGTTGAAATTGAATTAACTACATTATACTGCCATAAAAGGTAATGAAATTTACACAACAATAGATTCAAGGTGTCAACACAAAGTGCGGAAATCGAAAAATATCGATAGTTCTATAGCGATAAAAAATGTATTAGACGAGTTGTATAGAAAACTAAATCTTTGTTTAAAGTTAAAGGATGCAGCAGTCAAAAGCTCTTAACAATATTCTAGACGGAAACGATGTTTTTGCTGTATAAGAGAGTTTGGCAAATACAACGGCAACGTTCGTATATCAACAATAGCATCTTTACTCTAAGACAAAGGCGACTATAATTTCCATTGTTGAGCATTCTAGTACGCCGTAGTTGCATGTTCAAACTCAAGTTGTTGCGGTGTTTATGTGAATTCACTTACTATTGCTACTTCAGGGAATTTCAGGGTTGTTTGAAAGAAAGACAAGTGCTTTTAAAAGTTTAGAAATGTATGTTTTCGCTTAAATACAAAAGTATAAGTAATTTTGTTTTCTGCCGTCGCCTTTGTTGGTTGCCAAACTCACTAATGACACTAGTATTACCGACAGGCTATACTGTATATATACGGCAAAAACTTAATATTCCAACTTTCGGCCCTTGTCGAGGAGAGAGAAAGAAAAGAACCCGCTATAGCCATCATCATTTATTCATTTAATTTGTCCTCTAATTAGTATTATAGAGGGCCAAATGGAAGAAGCTAAGGACCTTGGTATGAGTTCGGTTTGCGTTAATGACGAACCGAACATAGAGGACATAAAATCGGGGAAATTTCATTTGATATTTGGATCGGCCGAAAACGTTCTTAAACAAGTGTTTTCTTGACGCTTTAAAATATTCAAGTTGTCATTTGCGTAATCGTTTGGTTGATTTTGTTATAGACGAGTCTCACGTCATTGAGACGTGGACTGGAGAAAGGAAAATACAAATTCAAAATGCACACTGTATTTTTATGCCTGTCCCGCATAGTCTTTCAGACCATTCTGGACCTCTCTCACAAACAATCCCGATATTTTGCAAAAGAACTTCAAAACTATCTTTAGCCCTACTGTTGGCTTGAGCAAGTCACTATTGAAATGGACTTCCATGTATCTCCGTATGTTACTTTTAAAGAAGCATTGCAACAACGGCAAAATTCGTTCAAATGTTCAGCGTTTTTTGCGTGTATAAATGTTTTTGTAGTTTTTTTCCAACTTGACATTGCAGACTTGTTGTAAACAATCATGCGTTGAAATCGAGATTTGCGTTTTGTTTACATATATTCGCAGGCTATTACATAAGGCGTGTCTGTATTAATTTGTTACATTGTATTTTACATTTGATTGACAAACTATAAATAGTGATGGGCACAGACGTATTCTTATTGACTAAACTGGCAGGCTCTAATTCAATTCAAAGAGCCTGTTCGCAGGCTAGTACTAGTAAGGAATTTAAGTGAACGGGGTGGTCCAGGGAAGTTGAGATCGCACTGGGAGAAAGACATCCACATTGTCGTAAATTGCATGCCGGACAGTCCCGTGTATGAAGTGAAACCAGAAGCGAAAGACGGAAGGAAACGATTATTTCATCGGAATCTTTTGTTACCGTGCGATTTCCTACCACTCACACCGGAACCACAAGAAAAAACAAGTCCAAAAACCGTTCAAAAGAAAGATAAAGGCCCAATTGAAACTGCACATGGAACAGCAGAACAGTGTGAAAGTGATAGTGATGACTCGGAGATTTTGATTCACATATTATCTGAACAGAGAAATTTTGAAAACGATTCATTACAAGGAAACGAAGCGGGTGACCGAAGTGAATCTGACACGGCGGATCCAGCAGACGATATATCGCAAAACCAAGCAGCAGAGAACACTCAGAAGCCTAACCTGAACACGCAGCTGGAAGAACAACAAAATGAAGAACCAATACAACCTGCATCCGAATCCCCACCTGCCCCACCAACACGACGAAGTACGCGAGTAAGGTATGCACCAAACCCTTTAAACTACAACCACCTTGGAAACCCAGAGCACTTCGTGTCGTCAGTTAATGCAACACCAATCTTTTCCCCATTTACCTATCCACAGAGTTACCCACTGCCGCCACTGGCGCCATTTATTCCACCACCATGGTCCTCTCCGTGGATCCCTCCATTTCCTCATCCCTTCTACCCTCCAGTAATCTACCAATGTCCGTGTTGGAACTCACATTATTTGACGCCCTTTAACATGGGTTACTAGACGTTTAAATTTATAATAATTATTAGTATTTGGTTTTTGAACTTTAGGATAAGTAGATATATACTACTTTAAAACCTGTTACAATGCAGAAGTATTGAAGAGTTGTTAGTTATTACGTGAAAAGGTATGGACAAAGTTAAGATATCAGACGAAGATGTTGTTTACCTGGCCAGTAAGCAGCAAATTCCTAATAATTTAAACTTGAAGAACACGAAGGACTCGAAAAATATTGTTTATTATAGAACTAAATCCACTTGGATTCGTTAACATTCACATCTTAATGTTAAAGAACACTCTTTTTAGGAGGGGAGTGTGTCACGTGACCAATTTAGATCACCCTGTCTTGGGTACCCTGTAGAAAGACAGTCACGCGACGAAGCAGCATGCTTGAATTTTGTACTTTTTACTAGCTTTATTAAAACGATACTTACACCAACAAAATATAGTATTTCGCGTGATAGTTGAACGGGTAACATTCCTCAGCAAATGAAACGAATTTTTACATTATTTTTTAGTATCTACGATCCTTTATTAATGAAACCATCGTTCACAAAGTGGAGAGACGCCAAGTCAGCCAATGAAACTCCGTATTCACAACGCCAAAGTAAGATAAAAATGTCTGTAATTTTTCTCAACAGTGGTAACTGCATGTGATACTAACATTGTGTTATCATCACTTCCTGATTGACATAGATGAAGCTCCTAGCACTAAGAAACACCCGGACAATCTTCATCATAGAACAGCTGTCCAGCAAAGAGCAGTCAAAACCTAGATAATAAAATATAATTTTATTGCCGTGGTTAAAACAAGACTTATATTGTTTTTGATATTACTCTTAGCGTATATACACATCGTATTCGAACCTACCTGACCGCGTAGCTCAGTTGCCAGAGCATTGGGCTATAGTATTCCAAAGGTCGTAGGTTCGATTCCGACCGTGGCCAGGCATATTTTTCAAGCTTGCCCGGTGTGGATATACACTCAGAGTAACATCACAAACATCATATTCACCTGAGTACATAACACCACCACAGACAAAAATCAAGACTTATATATACGCTTATATATGCTCACTTATATGTTTGGGTTAGTAATATTATAACGAAAAATTTGCTTGCAAACTATAAGGTTGAAATATATACTAAAACTGAGAAAGCTACAATAAATTGCCTTCAAAGATTGGAAGCATTTAGTATAAGTCTTCGTCGTCCTGGCCAAGGGCGGTTCTATATATGCATAGATATATTTATGTGCATGCATGGCTTGAGATTGTTTAACTTTTAAAATCATTTAAAATACTCAATTTTAATATCGTTTCCAGCCTATGGGGTTCATCCTATACTTGTTGATGTTGCGACGGGGACACCACTTGCAAGCCAAGCAATCAGATTCTTTCCAGAATGGACCGAAAAAGATGTAAGTCTACCTTTCAATATTTTCCAATACCCGCGGCAATTGTTTTAAAAATTAAAAAAATAGGATAATATTCGCTGGAATGCAGTTTGGTCAATTCAATGAATTTTGTAAAAATCACTGCAAACGATACAAGAATATTTAAAGGCACATACAGCATTTAAGAATGCTCTTGTGCGGCAACTGTTGGGAAAGGTATATATACTCTTGCTAAAGCCTGGTTTCCATATGGTCGTATAACGGTCGTGAAGATTGAGTCACGATCTTTCTCATCAGCCGAAATACAACATTTTAGAACTGAAGTACAACATTTTAGAATTTATATGTGGTTTACAATATATACATAAACTATTATAAACTGGCCTTTGAGAAAGATCGTGATTCTATTTTTACGACCATTACGACCGTAACCACTTCTGCAACGACAGGAATTTAGAATGATATTATTGAACGTCTTTTTGCATGTTTTTTCATCATACACTTCCTAAAATTTTAGATCAAAGAAATGTTTGAACAGTTTCGAAAGTTCGATACAAATAACGACTTTCACTTGGATTCCGAGGAGGTAAGCATCTTTATCATCTGTATTATGTTCAGATGATTAATAGATAGTTAATTTATATATGATAAAATGTTTGCATGCTTAATGCATACATTAAAGTAAAAATAGTGTACATGGCAGTACATGAATTCCAGTAGAGCAAATTTGAAACGCGAACTTTGTTCTTACTTGCATAAAACTCGGAGTCTTGGACAAAGAAAATTTTGAAGAAAATTTTTATATTTCATGCAGTGTGTCATTCCAGTGGCAGATCTCATCCTCGTACCCAGGGTGTTTTTGGGAAAGACCCTGGTATCGGTTGGTCACGTGACTCTACAAAAATTAATTGCCCATGGGGGAGTGGCAAAGTATCAAATTACATGCTTCCACTGAAAACGTTAAAGTTCAAATACCAGGAGTAGGATTTTACGATACATAGTTCGAAGCGCCCGCTAACTTCTATTTTATACCTCTGTTAATCTGTTTGCTTTTAAATTACAAAAACACTGTGGCATTTTATAACAGTCAAGTCAAGAAACAAATAAAAAATGTATACTCTTGGGTATTCTCTCACAAACATATTTTCATATCCAACTGGTCAGTCGTCAACGTTTGTATATTTTCACTTTTATCTGTTCCTAAAATATGCCATTAGATTTGTTGTTTGAAAACGTTGATAAAATTTGTGCAGATTTACTAATAAGCACGCGTCTTATTTATTGAAGGTTGATAAAATTTTGAAATGTAACTTTTTGTCACAAATCACAATGTAAACATGTGGACACTGCCGATGGTTTATCTTTGAAAATACTTTTAATTAAATAGTTCATCATATTTATTAAAAAACCTGTAGATAGGTAGGGTAGGAGGTTGGCAGGTAGTAAAGTACAACAATTTTCAGCCCCAGGGCGTATATGCATGATCAGGTGGTATATACAATCAAGGCTTTAGCCTGATAATTTTTTGGCCTCGATGCATTAAGTAATGGGGTAACAGCAATATTTATAACAGTATTTTTCTGATATACAGCACACATTTTATAATATGAACATAGTCATAGATAATTCCATAAATCACGGAATAAACCACGACATAAACACTGATATCACACTCAGTCTGATATGCACATGCAGTCTGCATATATACCCACCACGGATACAACACTTACTTAGTCTTAGAGTTTGATTCAGTATTATATTTCACAAAGTAGTTCATTACAGTAAAGTAATTTCATTACAGTAAAGCTAATGTCACAATTACACCCGTTTTCAAAATTACGCGACCAACGACGAAAATGCTAGAGTTGACATGTCAGTTTTATGTCATTCGGTCACGAAGTTCAAACTTTGAGTTTTGCGATTCCTTTTCGATGTATATGCTTTGTATGCTTTATATAAACAGGCTTACAATGATTTTCAAGATATTTTAGTGAGAATTATTGCAAAATTTAAGCATGACAAAATCATAACATGACCGTTATAGTCTAGCGCGCGTGTTTTATACTGACAGCTAAATTCGAGGATAAATTGTTATTTTTCAAACTTTAAAAGTCATTCACGGCACATATTTCTGTTGTGATCGCTTGTATTGTGCTTTAGTTTGTATATCTAAGTTATCTAACTCATTTTTGTTCAGCTTTGCTATTAAATACGGTTTAAGAGCAGCTCCGCGTAAATATCAACCGAAGTCGTGCAATATAAAAAAATCGAAAATTCTGAAATTTTGTCAGAATAATCATTTTGGGTCGCTTATTAACGGAAAATAATTCTAAGATCGATTGAACGAATATTGAGGCGGGGGGAACTCGTCATTGCTGAGAAGCTCTGAGACCAAGGAAATAGTTCGGAAAATAGGGCTGCGTGTCAGCGCAATTTGAGGGGAAAACACAGCGTTGTTGGCCAAACAAAATACATCACGCTAAAGGCAGGTAAATACTTCCGCTCTCTGCGGATTTGCAAGGCAATCAAAATAAAGTAGAATTTTTGACAGATTTTTGAAATTTAATCTTCCTGTCGGACATTTCCTGACACCCAATTTAAGTAATTTTTGAGCGCGATAAATCCAGCATGATACATGTTTTTTTGGAAACTTGTTATATTTTTCGAGTAGAGTAACTCATATCCTCTAGAATGATGCCATAAGCTTTTTGGGAACTCTAAATTTGCGCAGTTGAGAACGGGTTGAAGTACAACCACTTGAGCGCTGAAATGACCTTTGACACACAGCCGCCGAGAGCGGTAAACACACAATATGTAGCTAAAAGATTATTTTCTCCGTAGAAATAATGGACAAAACGACAACCAGAGTTTAAATAATTCATAAACAATGCAGTGTGGTCAATAGTAGTATCAATATTTGAAGAAAATGTACATTATACGAGTTCTTACCTAGCTATGAGACCTGAGACTTTGTAACAAATGATCAATTACTGCGAGACAGTTCAACATTCTTCAGAATATTTTCGTTATTTCCTTGCCTACATGATCGTTCGATACAGTCAGTCACATGTTAGGTTGTTGCAGAATTACCAATCGACCACTGTCTTGCCGTTAATAGGAATTAAGAAGAGAATTGTGGCGCGATTTGTGAAACACAGTGTTTGGCAAAATAGTGTAAACAATGCAAGGACATGATTACTTGCACAGGTTACCCGAACTGGTCGCCGAAGGCTACACACTATTAAAGGACTTGCCTTATTTCTTGAATTTTTACATGAGTGTGGGCAATATCAGTTTGAATAGAATTTCATTATCCTGTGTTGCAGCTATGGGAAATAAAATAAATAACAGTGTGCGACTGCAAATCGATGTCAGTCGTGGTGATGCGTAGACTGCCAGGGTTTGACAGCTAACAGGAAATGTCAACATGTTGCATCAATTAATATTCGACCACACTGCTAGTAACTTTAATCGAAAGTCACTCGAAATTCATTCAGCATACTGATAGGGTGGTGTAGAGTACTTGCCACGAGTCGACCATGTGGGAGGGAGGGCGCTGGGGAAGGAGGGCGCGGGGGAGGGATCGCGCGACCCCCGCTTGCAGGAATTTAAATCGCATTAAAAATTTTGGCGCGAATAATTTTGACATATTAAAAAGGGTGTGTACATTTCATACAATTACTTCACCGCGCGCCGACAATGGGTCTACAAAAAACACAAAATCTTTCTCAAGAATTGATATTTCTTTGTCCCCGAATGAAACAGTTATCACCGATTGTGGAAACGAAATAACTGACCCAAGTAAGCGCCGAAAGTTAATGTATCAACAAAAACAAGTGCATGTAAAAACTTATTGATTCTGGACAGTTGTTTGTCTAACAATGTGTGCCGTAATTGTGTCGACAAGAATAGTATTTACATTGTTTACTCTGTTTGCTTCAATAATAAATATTTGTTCAACAAAAAAGCCTGAGAATATAATATTATTTTTAGACTCCTTCGATAATGACCAATAATGTAAACCGCTTCGGCCTTCAATGTAAACAATGACGTCACCGGTGGATTTTTCCACCGGTGATATTTGGCGCGCTGCAAGTGACAAAAGTCCTTTCCACAGAGGAAGTGAAGCGCACCATAAAAGGGTCTGGAAAGGACGTTAGAAAGTCTATATAGGGTCACACAATCAAGTTTCATTTGTACAGTTTATTGAAGCGGAGATTTTTAAGCTCCATATCAGCGTTTGAATGCACGCACGTGAACGCCATGGAATGTGGCTACGCCAGGTACGTTGGCGGGCCTTGCGGCGGGAGTCAGCAGAGCCCACATACAAGGCAATGTCTCAGAATTGCTGACTGTAGTAAGGATATACGGGATTATTTGAGGTTCTTGAAAGTTGGAGACCCATCAATCACTTCTGAGGCCAGTCTATTACTCGCACGTGCAGGTATGTTTCGATTATACCCTACCATGTGTTGGCTATCAACAGAATTACAGAATATACTGGACTGTATTTTCATATACAATGCTTGTCAATTGAATTGTGACCCTGGCTGAGATAGAGAGCAACCACAATGCATATGTCACATGTCCTTGTATACATGTAGGTCTCTTTGGTCCTGAAGAAAATCACGGCAACATTACTATTTGTCCTCGGCATCGCGATAGCCATGGAATTCGCTGGCGGTGCAACCGCAGAAATTGTGTCTGTCCCGCAAGCTGGGCAGTACACGGAAGTGCTAAAGCAGAACGGCCAATAACGAAGGAACAATCAGAGAAGCTACTGAACCTTACTCATGTGCTTGTTCCAGTAGGATCTGGTAAGCAAGGACATGCAATCGGAATCGAAAAAAATATGTCATGAGTTTTTTTCTAGTTAACATTTTTCTTCGTTTTGCAAAGGTATTTGTACAAGATGTCGCAAACGCCTGACAGCTGAGAGCAAAAGAGCAGAGCAGTCCGTGGAAGTCGAAACACCTGTCGCGTATGAAGGTGACGTCCAAGAGAGTCAAGATCGCCCGTTAACGTCAGAATGCGAAGACATCCACGAGCAACAGGTACTATACGAATATGACCTACTAAACGCCACTAGATGCACCGAACACTTTGTGGGACGACACTTCATGGAATAGGCAGAGTGGTATTCACGCACTAGTGCCATGCATGAATGACCGCTAATCAATAATATTAGTCTTTTTTCTTCAATACAGGAATGTCCACAGGATGTATTAGATTTGTGTGATTCATTTCTCAACTTATCCATTGAGGAAAGAGATCTAGATCACAGTGCCAGTATGTTTGTTCCAGAAGAGCCGACAAGCAGCAGTACAACATCAAGCGACGAAACGGTAGAAGAAACCCTGACATCTAGAAGAACGCAGCTAAACTGTTTTCTAGAAAACTGTGGTGTGACATCAAGGATTGGTCCATGCAAGAAAACGTGGGCGGAGACCAGCGCGCGAACGAGGAGGAACCATGTGGAGAAGGCGCGGGATGCAATAGTGGCGATGTTAGATGTGGTGACACCAAGTGATGGGGCACTTCTCTGGGAAGCGCTGCAGTCATCGGCACTTGTGGATGAGGCTCTGGGGATACAAAAAACATCTCCCGCAGAGGAAAAGTATCTACTAGCACTCGCAGAAACATACAGAAATGCCTCTGGATGGGACACGCGAAGACAAATTCTTTCTGTGATGGCCGACATTGTACCCTTCGCATGCCTACAGCAGTATTTGCCCAATGTCACTGAATACCGCGTCAAGATTGCACGAAGTCACAGGCTGACGTTCGGTAGAGGCCTTCCCCGACCACCTACTAAAAGAGCACGAATGAAAGTGGATAACAGCCAGCTAGACCACTTCCTCACATTCATCACCAGCGGACATATCGTAGAAGACCTGCCCTTTGGACAGAAGTACCTGAAATTTTCCACTGGAGAGATCCTTGAAACGCCAAACGTCATCAGAAGTATGATCCCTGAGCGTATTGTTCAGCAATACCAGCATTATTGTGAGGAGACAGCGTTCACTCCATTTGGCCGAACCACCATATTGAACATCCTATCCGAATGTTCTGCAACTGTGCGCAAGTCTTTACAGGGACTTGACTACATCGCTGCCAACGGAAGCAAAGCCTTTGATGACCTGTGTGCTGCTGTGACGCGCCTTCACGAGTGTGGATCAATCTCCAGGGAGTCCAAAGACGAATGGCAAAGTTTACTGAAATCGGGTAAACACTATTTGAAGTCCGACTACAAGGTAAAGTGCACTAGAACAGTGGTAATCCATCTTGATTTGTAATTGTCTTATAATTAATATAGCAAATTTAATAACTATAACCTCAATTTGTAGGTTCTTGTGTCGAGATCGAGCACTGTAGCTGACCACTGCACCACATTTGCGCTGAGTGAAGCAAAAGACAAATGTTTCAGTAGCACTTGCGACCATACACACGATGACGCGTGTCCACAGTGTGAAACCCTCGACAATGTGCTGGCCGATATTGGAGATGTCTTCAATAACGATGCCATTGCAGAGGATGAACTAGTGGATCTCCGGTACACCTGCCAGAAAGCGACACAAGATGCCAAGTCATGGAAAGGGCACCAACTTCGAAGCATCACACAAGATGAGTCTCGACTAGACGTTCTGAGGCGGCTTGATCAGTCATCTGTGCTTATAACAAACGACTGGGCAATGAAGTTTCTACCTCAGAAGTACAGGGAATAACAGTCGGACTGGTTTGCAAAACGAGGGATCTTCTGGCACGTCAGCGTAGTTGCGAGAAAGGTCGAGAATGTTATGGAGACACAAACCTTTGTGCACATAGTGGAGAACTGCAGTCAAGATGCTTCCGTTGTGGTCAGGATCACTGAGCAAGTGTTGCACGCACTCCACGAAGACAGCGCCATGATTACCAATGCATACCGGCGACAGGACAACGCGGGGTGCTACCATAGCGGGTCCACACTGACAGCATACCTTCTGCTGCACATCCACTGCCAGCAACAAAGAATATAAAAAACAGACTGATAGCGAAGTTTGTTCATAGAGATGTAAAAGATGAATTCTATAAGAAGAGAAAAATGATAGCGGCCAAAACGACGAAGGACTTGCCGTCTGCTGCTCGGAATGGCCCTATTAATCAGAAGATTCATATTAACGAGTCGCTTACAGCTAATCGTAGGAAATTGTTTGGTATTATGAATGCTTTCAAGAAAGAACATCACTATAAATACTTATGGACAGTAAATGGAAAGATATTATTGCGAGAATCCGATAGTTCGAAAATTCATGGTTTTACTAGATTAGATGAATTTAATAATTTTGTTAAGAATCAATGAGAAGCAGTAACTGCGTGAGTATTGTTGTGTGAAGTTTAATAATGGCGGGTTGTTTGGATTCTGATGTTGATCTGAATCGGTTAATGACGAACCCGAATAAGTTTGATGAGAATTGTATTG